TGATCAGTTGCTTCTAGCACTGGAACCAGAGGCTGCCTCTATCTATTGTCAACATATGCACTTGGAAAATCCGGACAATACGAAGAAAAAAGAAAGTATAAACTCTAAGTACATGGTCCTTGATATTGGAGGTACCTTATACAAATATGATTTTTTTAAAGTTAAAAAATAATATACAAGTGCTCTACGACTCAATACTCAAATTTCGAAATTTTGGACAAATATCAATTAATGCATGTAACATATAGAAGCAAACGCAGTTTTTATACAGTAAACTGTCTTTTGAAATAATAATAAACAAATGCATGTCTTTAATGGATTACGGAGATAACGAATAGTATTCAAGCTCAAAGACCATTTAAAATTCACGAATCAGCAGCAGAGTATACATGAACCTCTATGAACATCAGAAGTCAGATCATGTGCCATGGAGGAGTGAGCATCACATTTCGAACGCTCACACCCGCCGTGTGCTGCTTGTCGTGTTGGAAAAAAATTGAAAAATCCGTTGGCAATTCAGTGTGAAAATTATGACCTAACAAGTAACAATAGGGTTGTATTTGCTGACAATATCATTCTATAGATCATAACACTTGTAAAATGATAAATTCAGATGACTGTTGATATTCTTGTTTCATCAACTTGTTTGTTAAATGCTTGGTTTGTTTTAGAAATTGTTGGTAAGACTATATAGCATACTCTTGTGTATGAAATCAACTGAGAGACATAAGCCCGTATACGTAGTTATGTAGGTGATAAGGGTACCGGTATAAATTGCTTCTCAAATAAAGGGTGTTAAAGATTGAAAAGTTACAGTCATTGCGTTCATCATAAATTTAAAGCTTTGTTACTTAATACAATTTGGAACATAATTCAATGTACAAGTTTTTGAATAAATACTGCTTCATATGTATACAAAAGTTATTTGGTCTGCTAATGGCGGGGTGAAATAGGTACACATGGGAATTCCAACATATTGTCTCCAAAACACAAAATTCTAGATATGGTCAATCAGAAACTCAAGCATCTTTCTAATATGAATTGAATTGAACATATTTTATTGACAAAGTCAAAAGGATCAGACACAAGTTCAGAAACTTAGATAGTCCTCTCCTGATATAACATTTTGTGAAATTGCCAAAGTAAAACAAACATACATACATATGGTCTACTATATACATTGTATACATTGTAGCAATAGAAAGGAATAAATTCTTTAAATATACAAATATAATTTGAGATGGTGAGGAAAAAAATAAAAAAGTAAACTTATTTTGAAAAACGACCACATTCATTTAAGAAAGTTTGAGTAGTCTTGAAAAGTTCAGCATTTTGTTCAAAAGTTAGAGAATCATCGCCCCATAGCATTAAATGTACATCTATAATATGTAAATAATTTAATGACAATAGCTTATTCATTAAGGAATTTCTTGCTTTTACATAATATTTACAAACAAAAAACAGATGATATGTATCTTCTAGTAGTCCACAAGAACAATTAGGACTGGTTATTAGGTTACAGCGATATAAATAATATGAACTTCATATTACATGTTTTTTCTATGAACAATCAGAATTTTTATAAAATAATTCTCCAAACGGCGACTCACATGATACTAGTATTCTTTTTTTAAAGGTGGAACAGCAGATATTACAATACACCAGCTAGAAAATCAAAAATTGGTAGAACTAATTCCGGCAACCGGCGGGGCATGGGGAGGCACATGTGTAGATAAAGCGTTCCACAAATTTCTGGAGAACATTTTGGGTGATGAGGTCATGGAGAAGTTTTCGTCGGATATAGATTACAAGGATGACTATTTCACATTCTGGCAGGGTTTTGAGACCAAGAAAAGGAACAAAATAGGAACAGCTGTTAGTGACAATGTTCATATTAGGCTTCCGTTGGGATTAGAGGAAATTGTTAAAGAAGTTTTTAACTACAAACACATGAAAAGGAACGAACCAATAAAACGATGTATTGAAAAGTCTATTTACAATGGCAAGATAGAATACAAAGATGGAGTCATATGGATGCCATCTGCAATTTTCAAAGAAATGTTTTATCCAACGATTAGAAACATCACCACTCATCTGGAAGGTCTTTTCAAAAAAGAAAGTGGCAAAAATGTTAACATATTACTGATGGTTGGTGGATTTGCTGATAATGAGTTACTGCAGTCTGAAATGAAAGAAAAGTTTCGGGGAAAGCGTTTGGTCATACCCGAGCAAGCAGATTTGGCTGTTCTGAAGGGAGCGGTATATTTTGGTCATATTCCAGACGCTATTTCTAAACGGGTTGCTAGGTATACTTATGGCATTCAAACTTGGCCGAAATTCGACCAATCCAAACACGATTTAAAGAAAAAAGAGATGGTTTCCGGAGAAGAAAGGTGTAGAGATGTCTTTTTAAAATTTATTTCCAAAGGAGATCATATTGAACCTGGAATGAGGAAGTCATACATTTTTAAATCGCTGCAAAATGAAAAGAGGAAATTAGAGTGTGGGGTATTTATATCGAATTCCGAAGACCCTACATACATTGATGAAAAAGGATGCTGCAAATTAGGAACATTAGAAATTCCAATGGGCGATCGAAGTGAAACAACTGAAATTGAAGAATCTATTATTTTTGGAGAAACGGAAATTCGAGTGAAAGCCTGTAACTTTACTACTGGAGAGCGATACGAGGTGAAATTTGATTTGCTGGCTGAGAATATTGATATGCCCGACAGCAGGACTTGGAGTGTGCACTGAAAATGTTTTTATCAAAATCACAAATTTAAATTGTTTTCCTTGAGACCTATTTTGAATGCATCTTTCAAATTAAAGATCTACAGTATCAGTATTGTGCCAAAAATATAAATCGATGTATATTCATACATTAGGTTGAATTGTTTTGAATTTGTTGTTAATGTAATTTTTTCCCATAAATATAAATCGATGACGACTATTTTCAATATTTATACTTTAGGTTGAATTGTTATCAAATTTGGGGTTTATGGTTTTTTTTTTCAGATTGATTTCATTAGTAAAATCACCGTTAAAGACGCTCTAAACACTGCACACTAAAGAGCTCTATTTATTGGGTAGTTTTATGCAGTTAGAGTGATCTGCCCTTAGATTTAAAATGAAAGAAATTGCTATTTACCGTTAATTACATAATTTATGATAGATTAAAATATTTTTAGCATTACATAAGACCAATAGTATGAAATTTAGATAATTGATTTCATTAATTTTCCTAATGTAAGTAAACTACAGTGATTTCTGCTTACAAATTGTCCATTGTCTTTGAACATTTTTCATGCCCAAAAAAGGCACGTACCCTTTGTTCTAAATGAAAGAATAAGTCTCAATATGCATATCTTTATATGATATATTTTTCCCAAAGTCCAAAAAAACAGTTTCTGTTAGTGTTAAGAGCTTCCTTACATGTTTTATATTTATTTTTTAACTATTTGTTGTGTCTTTCTAATGTTTCACGCTCGCAGGAATTTATATTCATAAATAATTTACTTGTTTCTAGGTATATACTAGATTTTTTAAATTTAATATGATTTCTTTGAATTTATATGTGTTAATTTAGCTATAGCAACCTCTAGCCCATTGCAATGTGTTAGTTTAAATATGCAAACATTTCCTGTATGTACGAGGGCTGTTCAATAAATATTGACCTTGGTGCTCGGAAAGAAGCAAAAGACGCTTTTCAATGATGTAGTCTTTATGACTTAACTTAATATTCTCTTTTAATTGAAACACGTCCGTAAATTTTTTATGATTTCCTGGACTCGTTTCTTCCTTCCGCTAGGTTTTTTTTATTTTAAAGTTTGGAAAATGTGAAACAAGTCAAAAGGCGAAAGATCTGGCGAATATTGTTAATGTGAAGAAAAAAAATTAACTTTATGTTTATCCCAAAAACTCCTTTACTCTTCAGGGCTTGAGGGTTTGAACGCTGTTATGAAGAAATTTAATGTAGTCAAAGAAAAATAATGTAGCAGGGATATTTTAACATATGAATAATGATCTAATATAAATTTGGAAATGTTTTAGGACTAATAATCGGGAAAAAATAATTAATAAAGGCGTAAGCAATACATAGTTATGTGGGTTGATCCAGAGTTGGTAACGCAAATTAACTGTAGAGTTTACACTAAATTGAGAGAATAATCTTGTTTAGAATCATCAGGAATTGGGTCTAGTTTACGTTCATTCTGGTGAAGTCATTCAGTTTGTTAATACCATTAGGGCGGAATGACTTCAATCTGTGCATCCAGAACTTTTCTTTGCTTTTTCTCTGAGTGTCTGTCCATCTTGGGTTATGGTCAATCACCACTGCTGTCATGTCCTCCCATTTGTGACCCTCAAGGTTGAAATGTTTCCCAACGGGTTCATTGAGTTTTTTGGTCCTAATGGTCGAACGGTGGTTATTGACTCTCCTGCGGAGATCTCCTGTTTCACCAATATACTGTTTGGAGCAAACTTTGCAACTGATGAGATAAATGCAGTTGTCAGTATGACAGGACAAATTCCCTAGTATTTTGTAGCTGCGACCTGTAACAGGGCTGTTAAAACTGTCTGTGTCAGTGCTGTGCTTACAAAGAAGACATCTTCTGTCAGAGCAAGTTTTAAAGCCCCCGTTAGGTAACGGGTTGTCCAGTCTGGTTCTCACTACCATTAATTTGTACTTACCAGGTAAAACAGAGAAGGTCCAAACATTGTAACACTCTATAGTGATTCTGATTTCAGAATTTTGAGCTCTGATGTTTTCTGAATTGAATAAAATTAAATCTCTAGAAGTAGTAAATGTAGTTCTCTTCACAAAGTCAGAATATATACAACAATGTACAACGAGGTTACATAGGTCATAATTCCCAAGGTCAATTATCATGGTGATTGCGATGAAAAGTATACAGTTTTGCTATGCCACATCTTGATTGTTGCATGGGTGTTAGAATGATAGTGTCACAAACGGGCAGTCATTTAAATTGCAAAACGAAAGTAACAAAGTGTAAAGTCATAAAAATGGCACAGGAAAGAAAATCATCATCGTCCCGAACTTTAGTGGCTGCATTTGACTTTGGGACAACGTATTCGGGTTATGCTTATTCATTCAAATCGGACTGGGCGAAAGTGCATATGAATAAATGGGAAGGTGGCCAGTTATCGTCCTTTAAAGCACCAACTGCTCTTCTATTGAATCCAGACAAGTCTTTTAATTCCTTTGGTTTTGAAGCGGAGAAAACTTATTCTGAAATTGCAACAGATGGTGACGAAGAAGGTCGCACTTGCAAGGAGTATTATTTTTTTCATCGATTCAAGATGATGTTGAAAACAACTCTCACCCAGGTTTGTAGGTATCTTGCTTACAAATGATTGTGTACACAGGAACCAGGATGGGGCTCATGGTCTAAAACTAAGTAATACGAACAGATAGAAATATGTGTGGTTCAAGTATTTTAGACACCCCCCCCCCGAAAACTAACTCTATAGCAGGATTTGCAATCGGAAAAGTAAAATGGCTCTTAGAGTATAATGTAGGATTTTCCCCAAAAAAATCGACATAAGTGTCAAATTTCCGGGGGATTCTATTCTGTGTAACAGTTCCCAAGAGTCATTTTTTCCGATGTAAGATCTCTGGAGGAGGGGGTGTTCTTGGAGGGAGTACTCAATCTAAAAGCTGACAAAAACGATATGCAAAACCTCTTAATAAATTTCAATAAAAAAAAATCACACACTCTTTGTAAAACTAAAAAGGATCGATTTTTTTAATGTCCCAGTTTATAATTTTTCTATTAGTTAAAAATGGGTTTGAGCTCAGTGATTTGAACTCTATTGTTCAATATCAAAAGACTGCTACTCTCGAACTAAAAAAAATTCTACATATTTAGATGAAAATTTTCACCCCTTTTCTGACCACGATAGCCTTAAATTGAAATCAAATCTGTACTAAACTAAAATTTCCCTGTACAAATATTTAAGTGTGTTTTGATCTCTTTTTGTGGACTAGCCTTAACCCAAATCATGCTTATGAATCGATGGTCAGTGAGAATATAAATTGTAGTCCTAAAAATTAATCTTATTTATTTATTATCCTGTCTGGCAAAATGACCATAAGATGTTTTTGAAGATTGATTTGTATATATTCCTAAATAAATATTCCAGTATAAATCTTTCATAACCTATTGTGCTTGCCTCATTTTATCCCCAGACGACATGATTTGAATAAACTTCACCCTATACTGCATGTATGTCAGGAAGTATTTAACAAAGTTTCGATTTTTTCTGGTCTCGAGGAAATAATTTTTTCTCAACATAGCATTACCTCCTGTTGTGGTCCAAAGTATCCTCCAGGACAATTAAAACCTCAGAGAGATAGATCGAGAGAAAGAGAGAGATGTGTAGATGTAGGAAAACTGATGCACTGTCGAAATACATGTACATACATGTACGCCTAAACTGATAACTTTATTTCCCACAATTTTCAAGGACTGTAACAATATTTATCTGCTTAATGCACAGCTTGATATTTTTTTTTTTAAATTTGAGGGAATACTCTACAATTTTTTTTAAAGTTTGTATTTCTTATACACTCTTTACATTCTAGATCAGACTAATAATTGCAATTTCATTGACTAGAGAGTTCATCGAGAAACAATGTGTAAGGACGAGAACGATCGGGAAATGGAAGCTATGCCAATATTCACCCTTTCCATCAAATATCTGAAAGACCATCTCATGAAAGAAATAGAAAAAAGATTCCTTGTCGAGGAGATAACTTTGGATGACATTAACTTTATACTCACCGTGCCAGCAATATGGGACGACTCAGCAAAAATGTTCATGAGAGAGGCGGCTGTAAAAGTAAGTCTGTTTATTCCCTGTTAGGCTACATTGCATGCAGTATTGTTTTCCTTAAATGGACACATTCGAGACATGTACATTTCTTTCATAAAAATGAATAGAATACAAATAATGAATGCTTTTCAATGGTTTGCAGGCTGGATTACCAGACAAACAATTGCAGATTGCATTAGAACCAGAGGCAGCATCTATTTATTGTCACCTCATGCATTTTGACGCTGTTGAGAAGCAAAAGGGAAAAGGCAACTGGACACGGGAGATGGGCTTAAAATACATGGTTGTGGATCTTGGAGGTAATAAAAGAATCATTTAAGAAAAAAAATTCCATTGTTTCAAAAATTAATGTATATGCAGATTAAAATTATCCTTACAACTTTATTATTAAAAAAAAAAACGGGGATATAATAGGACAATCATAGCGTACATTAAATGTTTTTCATGGTTGTACGTATGTGTTGAGGATGAATACTATTTGTTATTAGTATATCCTCTATATGAAGATTGTTTTTACAAATTAAGAAATTGTTTTTTTTAATCCATCCATGTATAAAATACTACAGCTGTTCGATATTAAGAAGTAAAGAATAAGTTTTCCCTCGGCAAAGATATTTATTATATGTAATATACCTGGTAATATGTAGTATGAGGCGAAAAAGTGATCTTGTAATCTAGAATATTGTTATTTTTATCTTTTATTTCATAAATTTTTATGTACATAATAATTCGTTGTTCTTCTGTAAATTATCCACTTCTTTGTTGTATCTGATTTTATTATAGTATAGATACTAAAAAACTGTAAAGTAATGATAAAGTTAAGCAAGGAGCTTGTCGCCCGATAAGGTAGCTAACCGATTGGCCCTTATACAACCATTAAATACTTTTTTATTTTTGCGATTTACAATAAATCACATAACGTGAATTTTTAACCTTAAGGTTTTACAACATCTTCCTCCAAAAATAGCATGATACTCTCAGCTTTAATCAAGAACTGGTCAGTCAGGCTTCTGTCATTACTTTTTTTGAATTCCCTGAAAGAAATACTGCGTATTGAGATAATGTACAGTATTTAAGCTTAAAAATCCCAGCAAAAATACAAATCAGGAGCAAAGCAAGCGGACTCTTAAACATCAGAAATGGGATAAGACGAAATGGAGGAGTAAGCCTTTGTCGACGGTCACACCTGTCGTGTTGGATCCTTATGATATGTATGGAAATACGGAGTAAGGGAAAAAAAACTCGTCGACAATTCAGTGTTTAAATAATCAGTATAACAGAAAAAGGGAAAGTTTCCCCAAACTCGAAAATCCTATTTCGGGGGGTGGGGATGGGGATGAGGGCTGTTAGGTTCTTACCTCTTTCAGTACCAATTTTGCTGCATTAACCTTAAACATGAGGGGTATGCTACGTGCCTGATAATTACCCATCAATTAGTATGAAAAATCTTCAATGTTTACGAAAAAATGACTTTAAACGAGGCTTTTGAGATTCTTGTTTCATCAACTTTTTGTCAATAACCTACTTCATTTTAGAAATCATTTGTACATCGAGCATATTCTTCCGTATTGAATAAATTGAGAGAGATATCATCCCTGATATGCAAGTGATAATAGTATATGCTATATAGATATAAAATTGTCGATTGAAAATTAAGTTGTAGTCATTACGTTTATCATAACAATTTGTTGTCACGTAACCATTTACTTCTTTTCCTATTCTGTGGTATTTTTTATTTAAAGTTTACCGAAATATCATTTTTTAACCACTTTATCTTGAATATCCAACTTACGTACCTTTCCAAATATTACCTGTATGTAATGGTTTTGTCATAATAAAAATGCTTTAAAATTTAGGTGGCACCGCTGACATAACTGTACATCAGCTTCAAGAAAACGGAACTCTGGCAGAGGTGGTACCGGCAAGTGGTGGAGACTGGGGCGGAACTTGTGTTGATGAGGCCTACAAAAACTTTCTTGAGGACATTTTTGGAAAAACTGTTATGAAGACCTTTAAATACGATTTGGAGTATGTCTTAGACTATATAGAATTTTGGCAAAATTTTGAAATCAAAAAGAGAGAACAAGTTATTTCAAAGATTTCACATTTGGTACATCTTTTAATACCTATAGCTTTGACTGAAATATTTAAAGAGCAAACAAACAAGAAAGGAATGCATGATGCAATAATGAAAGCGCTTATAAAGGAATCAACACATAAAAATGAAGACATTACAAGTTTGCAGGGAAAACTCGAGTTGCCGATTGAGAGTTACCAGAAATTTTTTACACCAACGATCGAGAAACTCGTTGATCATTTGTCTAAAATGTTCAGAGAGGAAGTGGGTCCGGGTGTAGATGTCATTTTAATGGTTGGTGGATTTTCTGAGTGCGAGCTGGTTCAAGAAAAACTAGCAAAACATTTTGGAAATAAGCGTTTGGTGATCCCCTATCAAGCAGGTCTCGCTGTTTTGAAGGGGGCAGTCTTTTTCGGTCACCACAAAGATTTGATTTCACGTCGAGTAGCGAGATATACGTATGGAATTCAAACGTGGCCAAAATTTGACAAAACAAGACATTCTCTACATAAAAAGCATAAGATAAATGGCGAAGACAGATGTCGAGATGTATTTTTGAAATTCATTACCAAGGGTGATCCCATAGAGCCTGGTCTGAAGAAATCTTACATTTTCAAAACTCTCAAACAAGGCGAAAAAATACTCGAGTGTGGGGTCTTCATTTCCAACAAAAAGAATCCAGAGTACGTTGACGAGGAAGACTGTTATAGGCTAGGGACTCTTGAAGTTCCATTGACGAATTCAGAACTTAGGACTAATATGGAGATTGAGGAATCCATCATTTTTGGGGAGACAGAAATAAGAGTCACAGCTTGCAACTTTGCTACAGGCAAAGAACACGAAATCGTTTTTGATCTTCTCTCACCAAAAATTAAAATCCCAAGCAGTAAAAGGTAATACAGAAGAAAAATCTGTAAACAATCTTTGACGTTGAAAAGAAATTGTAACATTTAGAAACTAGAGGGAAAGATTCAAACCTTTTACTATTAACCATGCATTCATACGAGATACATGTATGTAGATTGATAATTTTTATTTTTATCATAAAGTTCAGTAAGGATTATGTTATCACTTTTTTCATTATCTGTAAATTAGATCAATGTTTGACTTTGCTGTATTTTTCAAATGCCAGATCACCATAACCACTGTGTATTAATTGCTCAAAATATGTAAACAACGAAGAAAAAATAGTGTATGTAATTGAACATGTTAATTTTTTCTATGTCTTTCTATTGTATTCATGCTCAGGAAAATGATAATTGTATTTTATAACAATTTATATGCTTTCTGGAATACTAGTATTTCCTTTCATTTGTATTACATATCATGTTTATTTGAATATATGGAAAAATATATTACGTTTATCATTATTGTGACTGACTCTAGTTGTACCTCCCAGCTTGAAAAGTGGAAGGGTATAATGTCTATGGGATGTCCATCTGTGTGTCCGTCCGTCTGCAACGCTTTGGGGGTACCCATCTCTTATCTGCAACTCTTCTTATACCATTGAATGAAATTTAATGAGACCTTCACAGATTCTTTATTACATAATTCCATTATACACCTCTTATTTTACTTTTTAATTTGAGACTTATTTCGAGTCTCCCATAGCAACACATGGACTTTATCGTCATAATCATATTGGAGGTGGAGAGTATCATTTCTTGAGCTCAGTGCTCACAGTAAATCTAGTTTAATCTATTATCTTAGCCCGTTTAATTGCTTAGTGGTAAAAATGATTTCATGTAATTGTTTTTCAATAACAGACAGTTTATTATTTGATCATACAACCGATTTAGAGTCGAGAAAATAATTCCATGTCCTTCGCTTAATATTTAAATTCTAAGATTTATTTTAATATGTGTCTTAACCATTGGACTATTCCAACGAAGTAGCGGATTGAAAGGTGCTATAAATAGAGGTTCCTATGATATTGCAAAATTCATGATAAAGTGGTCAACTTTAAAACTCGGACTTAAAAAGCTACCTTAATTCGATCTTGGCTAAGATCGAGATGAGTGAACACTTTCAGATCAAGATTAGGAACTTCAGGGGCTAATTGATTTGCACAATATATAAATAAAAGCCAATATGTCATTTATTTCACGTACTCCTTTTTATTCAAATTCTATATAATTTTCTGTTCAGCTCTCAAAGGCATTCTAATTAGAAAATTAAACAATCGCAATGGTTGATTAAATTGTTTTAAAATAGTAATTAAAGTTTATGAGCATTTTTCTTAAGTAGTACAGTACAGGCCACGAGTTTTCCGCAACGCTCGGTGGAAAAAACACCGTGTGAAACGCTCTGTGTTACACCGTGTACACGGTGTAGCACGGTGTGTGTGGATTTGAAATATACAGGTAGGCACACCGTGCCGCACCGTGTCTAGAAAAAGCTCAGCTAGTGTCCTCCGTGTCGCACCGTGTCCGGAAAATTCCCCCCCAAGCTGCACCGTGTAAATAGTATTACAGACAAAATCGTTTGTTTCTCATAAAAATTTGATAATAAATTTTGATAACAATTTATAACTTTGTTTTACGAGTATGTATATAAAATAATCGTTTTTATTCTACCAGATATTGGACTTCGAATGGCATGCATGATATTGAGATTAGATATCGGTAAAAAAAAATTGAATGGTTTTCATTTGAATTAACTGTGTGTCTATAAATTTATGTAAGTAAAATTATTCATCCATGTTACAAATTAAATCAAAATTATGAATTTTCTTTTAAATGAATAATTTAATCTCATGTGTTCATGTAACAAAGGAAGACGAAATGGCGTCGAGCTGCATTCGTGTCACATACACTGTATAGTACAGTATAAAATTAAATCAGAGCTGTATCTATGTTCATGGTTTTAACATGTACAGCACTAGTGTACGATCCAAGCTTAAATACATTTATTTTATTCATCTTGAATTATTCTGAATGTGGATGCGAAAATCGTTAGCAGAAACACGAAATTAATGCAATAATTTCAAAGCGTATTTCTCGTAACAGCAAACATCATTTTCATAGAGTATAGTATTCACTACGTTGTGTTTTTAAAACCCTTTCAGTGTAAGTTATGGAACGCCGTCACTGCCTTATAGCAGAACACAACGATTGCATTGCGTCATCCTTCCATTACATTATGTCAACACTTTATGACATTAACTCACAATACTATTACATTATGTCAACCTTCCATTATATTATGTCAACTCTTTATGACATTAACCCACAATACTATTGCAATATGTCAACCTTCCATTATATTATGTCAACTCTTGATTACATTAACCCACGATACTATTGCATTATGTCAACCTTCCATTATATTATGTCAACTCTTTATGACATTAACCCACAATACTATTGCATTATGTCAACCTTCCATTATATCATGTCAACTCTTTATGACATTAGTCCACACTACTATTGCATTGTGTCAACCTTTCATTACATTATGTCAACTCCTTATGGCAATTACACACACTACTATTGCGTTATATCAACTTTCAATTACAATATGTTTAGTCTTTATGGCATTAACTCGTACTTTAATTACATTGTGCCAATCTTCCATTGCATTATATCAGCTCTTTATGACATTAAGTCAAAACAATTTTACGTGGTGTAAAAATGCTTTTATATATTTTCAACTCATTATTACATTATGTGCACTCTCTGCTATTTGGTCTAAGTAGTTCATTACATGATGTGAATTTATCTTTAACTCAATATCAATTCGCTATAACACGATGTCAGAATTTCATTACATTATCTGAAAAAATTGTCACATGTGGTCAATTCTTTTACTACTTTATGCCTTCAATATGCTACATGACGACGTGAATCAATTTCATGATGAGAATTTGCCCTTACTTTTTGACAAATCGTTATTACGTTATGTCATTGTGTCTTTACATTGTGTCAAAAATGCTAAGTCTCTTGTCAGCATACATGTATCTTAGGCTATTTCATCTCATATCAGATGTGAAAAGCTCATGTCATACTGTGCGCACTCTTCTACATTATGTCGATTCACTATTACGTTATGCGAACACGGGTATCCTCGGCCTTTATATGAGCATAACGTATTTTCCGCTTTCCGAAAGCACTAAAAATGGCGGGAGAGAAAACTGTCATAAAATAAATTCTCAGCAATTTGGGAATTGCATCTTTAAATGAAAACTTTAAGCGAAAAATGATTGACAATCTTGAAACTTGCAAAGCCTTAACACTGCGACTGTGAATTAAAGTCACGCGTCGAAATTCAATGGCATTTACTTTTATCTGATAATTAAATAAATCAAATATAAGTCGTGCAGCATTTATTTTTCTTTTAAATTGTTTTTTTTAATAAAAATCTTAAACTTCTGATCTTACTTAGAACACTTTATTTTTTATCAGTCTTTAACTCTCCTTTTTTAAAGTGTATACAGATATATCGTATAACACACGTGCACTGGCGGGTTGGGGAGGGGGGGGGGGGCAGAAAACCCGCCCTACTATCTTTAGTCACCAAAATATACATAAAATTAATAAATTTATTAGTTTTACAATGTAGGACATTGCATTACTTTCACATTAAGTTTAGCTGAATTAAATTGAAAACTTTTTTCTATAAAACTCTAAAGCCTGCCGGAGAGTTTTTCCGCTCACTCCCTTTGGTCACCAACTCTATACCGCCCCCCTTCTTTTTTCAAGATTCCCATATGCGCCACAAATATGTGCCCATGCATGCTTATTAAGGCATATTCAATTGATTTAGAAGAGGGACTGGTAGATTTTTGTAACAGAATTCTGGTCTTGGAATGGTTGAAAAAATTACAGTAACTAATTCCGTGACATAGCATTTAGTTGAAAGAGGACGTCAGCCAGAAAGAAAAAAATTATTTACTCGAAAAAAACTCGACAAGCCAAAAAAATTGTCCAAGCCCGAAAATCCTATTTCGGAGAGGGGGTCCGACTTCGATCAGTTCTATATTTTTTCAGTTATACTACATTACCCCTAGTGGACTATACTTTTCTAAAATAAGGTTATGTCTGGGAAAAGAGGGGGGGGGGGCTGATATTATGTGTCTATAATTCGTCCTACTCAATGGGGACACCCCCCCCCCTCTTACGAGTCATTAAAACTCGGTCGTCAACATTCATTATTATACTAGATATACAACTTTCAGATAATGTAAATGTATTTTCACATCAAAACTTTTGGAATCAACATGATAAAGAGTTAACACAATATAAAGATATTTTTTAAATCACATAAGAAAGAGTTGACATAACGTAATTATATATCCACATCACGGAATAGAGTTTTGACATAATGTAATAAAGTGTTGATATAATATAAAGATATGTTCACATTATGTTATACACTTTTAACACCACGTAATAAAGCACTGACATAAAGGTAAGATGTGTTCACTTTACATCATGATGCTCTCGCCGTAAAATAAAGATAAATCCATATCACGTAATAATGCTTTGATATAATAGACATATACATTCTCAAAAAGGAATGGAATTTTGACTTCATGTAATGATAAGTTCAATTATAAAACACAATTTACTTGACGTAATGCAATTTTGACCTCACATATTAAAGAAATGAAATAATATAAAGAAACATTCATTTCACGTAATAAAATTTTAACACAATGTGAACATATTTTCACTTCATATAATGAACTTTGGACTTCAAGTTATAAAGTGCTGACATAATGGAAGAATGTGTTTACTTCATGTAATGCAGCATGGACATGATGTAAAGATATTTTTACATCACCCCATAAGAAATTGACATAACGTAAAGATATGTTCACATCACGTAATGATAGATAGACATAATGAATGCATAGTTTTATGCTATAAGGCAGTGATGGCGTTCCATATAAGTAGTTATTTCAATAAGTTTTTCTTTTCTTGTAAAAAGTATAAAGAGCAACACCAGAGAGAGAGAGAGAGAGAGAGAGAGAGAGAGAGAGATAGAGAGAGAGACTCATACAACCCCCTTTTAACATATAGTCTGTATTTTTTTTTTAATTCTTCGTTTTATTTAAGTTAAGGAGGTCACAATTAATCTTTCTATAATTCTATTTAATTGCCACAATTTTTGTTCATATTCAACCCATTTAATGCAATCAATTCGTTCTCTGTATATTTTGTATGCACAAAATTCTCGTGCATCACCTGTCAATCAAAATACCATAACGCTAGGTGACCTTGAAAGTCTGTTTACGCGGAAAGAATTTCTCTTGTGATTTGAAACAATCTTATGGTCAGTTCCGAGTTCACACCTGTTCAAAAAATATATTGGGTCTCTGCCGGTGGGCCAGGGGCGCCGTATGTTTATCACACCTTTCAAATTCTTTAGCTCTGACCAAAGCAAGTGTATAACATGTAACACATTCAACTGATATCATGCGAAATTCACCTTCCAGGTTTCACTACAACAACAATTATAAACTTACAATTATTTGTTGACTTATTTATCCTTTTTCAGACACAAATAAGAATGTATCCCGTAGATTAAGATTTAAAAAAAAACATAACATAAATTTGCAGACTTCTGATAAAGTTTTAACCAGCTGATTCGTATCGCTTTCTAGAAGGCGGGGGGGGGGGGCATTTTTAAAAATCGCTAAATATCCATGTTTTCTCAAACCGTTTTTTCTTCTTTTAACGATATATTTCAGAATGAAGTAATATTCGTACTGAAGTTAGCACATTTCATTTGCCAAAAATTCGGCTGTGATTTTTGTATTCAGCGTGTTTACTAAATAAAGTTTATCACTATTTTAATTAATGAAATTATTCAGATTATCATCTCTGCCTGTTCAGTAGATTTTCGAGTTTACCGCATTCAATTTTTATCTCCATATTTTACATAATTACAGATTTTTAGTGTTAGTCTAAATGCAATAATCCTCATGTGAACCTTTCCAATGATTCGCCGAGTATCGGTATCGGTATCAAAGAGCAGAATTAATGTGCTAGTCTGATACGTATTTTTTTTTAAATAATCTAGACACAGTGCATGTACATTTAAATTCTTACAAAATAATTAATTCACTTAGTATAATCACGCATCTGATATGTAATACGAAGGGAAAAACGATCTTGTATCAACGATTTAAAATCAAAATCGAAAGTAGAGACAATTAAGTAATTCAATTATGAAAGTGTGTTTCCTCTTAGTGTAATATAATAATAGTCTATTGAACTTTTTATGACTAAAATAATTAGGATTTAACTTGAAACGTGATTGGATATTTTTTTTGCTGGACACGAGTACGTTGTTATTAAGTTTTAAGGCATCTTATTAGTTTAATTATCTGTATGCGATAAATTACCAATATATGTATCAATTTATGGAAAAAGTACAACAAATATTTCGAAAGAAAGTTGATTTAATTTTATTAAATAAGGGCAATGAGAATGTTTAAAATATTTATCATCAGAACTGTGACACACCGTGTTACACGGTGCACAGACACGCTGACTTCAAAGACGCCGACAAGGTTCGAGGTCCACGCTAAAGCGTGGACTTGCGGTCCACGGGGCCCCGCGTTTTTTGCGGAAAACTCGTGGCCTGTACTGTAAGTCCTCTGTTTAAAATAAAACATTACAATCATGTGTATTCGACATTAGATTGTGGACTAGAGCATGTAGAGAGGAATTTATTCTTTTTTTTTTGTTTATTGCGAAAATTGATTACATGTATTTAGAAGAGGAAAAACAGGAGAAGAACTTTATTCTAAGTGGGAAGAAAGACCCCCATTATATCTTTCAAATTACATTTTTTTCTTAAGATGAAAAAAAAAAAATGCTTGAAATGCTCAGCCGTACAAATCAAAACGAAAGTACTCAACTGGAATAGAAAAGCAAACATGGGAGAGGTTGAGAAAAACGAAAGAATAACGAAAGCTGGTCGATTGTTGGTGGCGGCAATAGATTTTGGTACAACATATTCAGGATATGCCTATTCATTCAAACATGACTGGGCAACAGTACACACGAACTCCTGGCCAGGCGAACATCAGCTTTCGTATAAAGCACCAACAGCCTTGCTACTGAATCCGGACAAATCTTTCAAAGCTTTTGGATTTGAGGCAGAAAGCTTTTATTCAAGTTTAACCTCTGAAGAGGATGACCGATGTAAGAAATACTACTTTTTCCGACGCTTCAAGTTGATTCTGAAAACAACACTTGAAGAGGTATATATTCATTTATTAATTTTCCCCAACATTTATGGAACGTACTTGGAATTCGAAAGTAATGCATTTGTTTTATTTTTCATTCTCATTAATTAAAGTTTGCAAAATTTATCTTGTTTCACTTCATATGTCTGCATATCCTTAAATGGGTGATGATGAATTTAGCTTTCATTTAATCAATTTTAAGGCAAGATCAATTTTTGTAATCTGCATTTATTTAATTCCTACCCCACTGATCATTGCTGAGTGCACCTCTTTTTATTATAGGAACTTAAATTTGAGTGTGTAGAGTTGGAGAGTTTGTTCGTGCATGTATACTAGTATTTAATTTATTTCACCTTGCCAAATTTTCTTTAGCAGAACAGCTAACTAAATGTTAGAGGAAGCTGCAACAGCTAACGCGTTAATGTGTCACCTGATAATTGTATTTGGCAAGGTACCACTTTTACAGGGATTATTTTGTTCTTTTACAGAGAGTTCACAGGAACAGCGAGTGTTCGGACATCAATGGAAAAAGTGTTGATGCCATGTCTGTATTCATGCACTGTATAAAGTATTTAAAATCGCATATGTTAGAAGCTTTAAATGATTCTAAAAAATTTGAAACAAAGATTACAGACATCGATTTTGTAATAACAGTGCCAGCAATATGGGACGATACAGCTAAGATGTTTATGAGGGAAGCTGCCATCAAAGTAAGTTGTCAAATATCAAAAATTCACATCCATTCAGGAGGCTAGGGGGTCAATAAATTAACCATCAAATATAATTTATTTTTTTTGATATATGTTAAGCTGTTAACGATCATTTTGAAAAGAAAATTTGTTATAAATGTTCGTTATAAAATTTGATCACTTTAAATCATCACCACATTAAAAAAAAATTAGAGACTAAAATTGTTTATATGAACATAAGATTTTCATTAAGTTTAAATATTAGCACTCGGTGACAATTATTCACTTTTTTTGTCAACAAGTTAAGAACATAGTTTTGAATTATTTCATTTCATAATTGTTATTTTTTCAAGACAAACAACTATGTAAACGAAATATTAAATTGTTTAGCAAATTGTAAAACAACACATTGTAGGCTGGAATACCAGGGGACCAACTCCTTTTTGCTTTGGAACCTGAGGCCGCTTCTATCTACTGCCAGCTGATGTATCTGGAGCCTCAGAACGATTCCAGCTTTCGTGTAACTGAAACAGACTCTGATGCAAAATATATGGTTGTTGATCTTGGAGGTAAATTACTAATATATAATATATATCTCTCTCTCATTGTACATTTGTAAGAATGAGTGTGTTACTTTTGAAATCTTCAATCCATTTCAAATACTTTATACATTTTGATAATATCAATATTGTACCTTTAGTGTAGAGCAGGAATTCAAAGGCTATGCATGTTACTAAATTCATGTTCATGTATACTGAATAAATATACCTGTAGTACACGTTTGAATCAATCATGAGTGAGATACACCAGAATTTAAAAATAAAATCTTGGTTGCGTATTAAAGAAATTTAAAAGTTTTGCCTATCCTGGAAAAAAGATGTCTATTTATCCTTCTTGTATTATTCTAATGTATACACATCTCAGGAAAAGTATACTCGGTGTCCTTATTTACTAGAATATTCCACTTTTACATCTACATGTAGTAGTTGAAAAAGATGCTTAAACTGGGTTTAGCTCTCTACTTGCATCTTCATTTTTTCAGTAATATATAGTTTTATTTTCAGGTGGCACGGCAGATATAACTATACACCAAATGCAGGAGACTAGAACAATAATAGAACTAACTCCTGCTTCCGGAGGACTCTGGGGTGGAACACGCATTGATGAGGATTTTGGCGCCTTTCTCAACGATTTATTTGGCAAACAGGCAATGACAAAATTTCAAAAAGACAGTGCCGAAGACTTTTTTGACTTTTGGCAACGGTTTGAGGTCAAGAAAAGATCATTTGACTTTAAAAAAGGAACAGAAAATATCCATTTACAAGTTCCATTGGAATTATTGTCTACAATCCAAACGATTAATAAAGAGAAAGATATAAATAAAATTATAGAAAAATCAAAATGGAAAGGAAAAGGAATCAAATTTGCGCAGAAGAAATTGCATATACCTACAACAATTATGAAAAGTATTTTTCAGGCAACTACAGACGAAATTGTCAATCATCTTAAGGTGCTTGTGAAAGGAGTTGGCAAAGGTTTGAAAATTATTTTGTTAGTAGGTGGATTTTCGGAATGTTCACTTATTCAAAATCAAGTTCGTGAAACGTTTGAAATCAAAGGTCAATGTCGAGTTATAATTCCAAACCAGTGTGGCTTGGCAGTTTTGAAAGGCGCTGTTTATTTTGGACATCACCCGGATATGATATCTGAACGTGTAGCAAGATACACCTACGGAATTCAGATATGGCCAAAATTTATCCAAGGGGAACATAAAGAGGCAAAGCGGGATGTCCGAGGTTCCGAAGACCGGTGTAAAGACGTATTCTTTAAGTTCGTTACCAAGGGAGACCGATTAAAAGCAGGGTTCATTAAAAGTCACATTTTCAGGGCATTGAAATCAGCCGATGGTGACCTTGAATGTGGCATTTTCATCTCAAACAAAGAAAATCCTAAATATGTTGACGAAGATGGTTGTGAGAAACTTGGAGTTCTGAAAATTGACGTTGAAAGAGGGACGGAAGTCGAGGAGTCTCTGATTTTTGGACATACAGAGCTACATGCAAAGGCCTGTAACTGCTCAACGAAAAAAGAATACAGCGTCACTTTTGATTTGCTGTCAGAGAAAATCAAATATCCCGCCAAAAATTAACCTCAGATCTCAAATTGAATGAATCATAACATTTAAATAAATGTTTGTGCATGTGATAAAGTTTTTTTTTCTACAAATAGCTTATGCTTAGAATGTTGTACGGTGCGAATATGTGATATCAAACTTTACTTGTTATAAAGGTACCTGTGATACAAGAGATAAGGTGATATTTATAAGAGGGTTTCCGTTATCTGATAAAAGATATATACATGGTTAAAATATTTGACTTTGTCACTCCATACATTTTGTTGTGTATTTAATCATTTTTAATTTGTATTTCTGCAAGATATTAATTTACAAAATAACCATTTATTTATGATTACATGTATGGTTTTTTTTTTGAATTCACATCAGAATCTCCAGGATTTTGTCATGCACCTTTTAAAATAACACAAGTTTCTTGTTGGTTTAATTATATAAGCTTGTACATGATATATGTATACAATCCGCTGTCTTCGTTGTTGATTTCAAAAATTACACAATATTCAAAGGAAATGAAATCATTTCTGTAGGTTAATTGTTAAGCAAAAATCTTTTTACTAATTATTCACTTATACAATGTAATATAGATTGACATCAAGCATATAATAATGTTCATTGAATTGTTTTAAAATGGAATAAAATAGTATATATTTAATCATCTATTTAGTTTTACGCCTTATTTGTTGAATGCCCCTATAAATTTTCTGTCACATAATTTTTGTAACGATATACAATGCAAGTGTTAATATTCCCTTAAGTCCATTATTAGTGTTTCACTTAACCCTTAAAATATCTAGAATTCAGGTGCTTCTGGGTGGTTTGTCATAAAATTCTATCAGGGCTTTGGTTTACACTTCCCTGCCTCTATGAGTAGATTTATTTGTATTTTGGCAATTCTTAAATTTACTCTTACGAAATATATCTAATATAGCCCATATTCTAAATAGCACGGGGACTTAGTTTAAAACGTTTAAAATGGGGGATAACCGACACTGATCTAAATATAGTACACACCAATACACATAGTTTACAAACCGAAAGTGCATGTAAATAATGATATAGGACATGAAATAATGGCTGATAAGTCTGCCCTTCAGGCTTCAGTCAGAAATAAACCTTCGAAATCCTTGAAACTTCTTGTGGCGGCGATAGACTTTGGAACAGCCTATTCTGGATATGCCTACTCTTTCAAGTCAGAATGGCCTCAGGTCATTACGAATAAATGGCCAGGTGGGGAACAGATCTCATACAAGGCCCCCAGTGCACTACTACTTAACCCGGACGAATCATTTAATTCATTTGGATTTGAAGCTGAGCAGAATTACGCCTCTTTAACCTCGGTAGAAGATGAGGAATGTCAAGAATATTTCTTTTTTCAGCGATTTAAGATGATATTAAAGACCACCTTACAGAAGGTAAAATTTGCTTAATAGCATATATATTTAGAAATCAAAAGTACACTGGTTTATCGAAGATTTCACAATATTTATGAGCACATATTTAGCCTTAATCATACTCTCTCGTATATACTGTAATTATAAGTTACCTGCATGCTCTTATCATAAAAGTCTAGTAAATGCATTTGTAACGTTTTTTTCTCTCTATGGGGTGTTTGTTTTTACCCGCGTCACAAAATATTGTGGATCCCGTGTATAAATTCAGGAACTCTAGATCTTTATAGATCTAACATAAGAACAACGACAAAGTTCGTTTCAACGAGTGTATTAACAATATCCAAGAGTAGTTTTACAAATCAAATCCAAGCTATGTATATCAACTCACTAACTCTCTCTCCTTATATACCCTGTCTGACACCTAACGTGATTTAGGGCACCTAGTTAGGGCGTAAGGCTCCATCGTTAGGGCACCTGTTAGGGCGTTAGGCTCCATCATTAGGGCACCCTGTTAGGGCAATCGGCTCCATCATTAGGGCACCTATTAGGGCAATCGGCTCCAAGTATTAGGGCCTCTGCACCATTGTTAGGTGTCAAGACACTTAATATATTTAGCATCTGATAAGCGCCATATTAATTAGGACACTAATTAGACTTCCAAGATAAGGGCGCTAATCAGGTACCATGGTTAGGGCTTATCAAATAAACAAAAATAATATTCCTATTTTATTAACAACTGTAGCATATTTACATATATAAACAAAAATATTACATTGGTCCCTCCTTTTGAAACATGACTTCCATTGTCATTAATATCAGGGTATTTAAAACATGAACATGAATTATACGTAAAATCACATTACGCAAATAAAAAAAATGCTCAATACTCAAAAGCCAAACAATCAAAAAGATAAAAGGTAAAACAACAAAATTATATTAAATGAAAATGTCACTAGATTAAATCAAAAGTTCATCACACAGGTAGCTTCACATTTGGATTTCCCTGGCCTTTTTTTTTTCTTCAACATTTTCTCTTCCCTTTTTTTCTGATATAGGCTTTTCTTCCCTAGGTTTTAGGCCGTATAAAGTTGACTGACACCTGACCTGCGGCATCAGTCATCTTAGTTAATATAATTCCTTACAGTACTCTTTTCAACACAACTATGGTCTCGAGAACTGTCACTTTGTTGAAGTCTTCCTCCTTCTTTCTGGTTCCACGGGTTGTAAGGGCGTCCCCTCCTCCCTGGTCCTGTACTGGTACATGTACTTGGGGTTCTCATGTTTTTATAGATACTGTTGAATCCGTCACCCGCGCTTGGAGGTTTGGCAGTATCCGCAGCTGCTATTTCATCATTCAATTCCCCATCTTCAATCTCATACACAGGCTTATAGCCTGGTTTTGTCTCCTTTGGCAGTTCTTTTTCCCCAATCCGCAAGCACTCTTCTTGCATTGCATTAATAACTGCTTCTTGAAGTGTCCTGGGTCTGGTCCGTTTCACTGCAAGTCGAAAATCTTCAGATTGTCCACACTTATCTAAGAAGGACTGTATAGTGTTTTCTTCAACTAAATCTGGATTTCCTGGATAGGCCCTTCGGTACAGATCTTCGATGACCTGTCCTAAATCTCGCAAGGACTCACCAGGTTGTCTTCTCCTTAATTTGACATCTGCAATATATTTTTCTTTCATCGCAGAATGTCCGAATCTTTGATTCATTTTCTCTTTTAGTTCCTCATAGTGATTCTGTACAGTAAGGGGCATTCCATAGGCATAGCTTTCGGCCTGTCCTCGCAAGGTGTTAAGTAAGACTCTGCGAGATTTCTCGGGTCCCCATGAGTTTAATTCTGAGATGTTTTCGAAATATTGTAGAAACTCATCCCAAACATCATCATTGGCCCCTGAGAAGATCCTCCTTACTGGATATTCGTTGGTTCGTTGACCAGCATTTGGTGTCATAGGACTGTTTGTAGATGTCCCGCCAGCCATAGGAAATTCTAAATTGTACCCAAGTCCCTGAGGAGACAGATTACCCAAATGAGGAGTAGTGCGTCCAGATTGCCCAAACATTTTAGGTTCCTGATAGGTACCTGTAGGGGCGTTAGGCGCACTACCACCAATATAGGGTGTATCAGTAGGTGTCAAAGAAATTTCCGTTTTCTTACTGGCATATGTCAGACCTGATTCTCCATACTTCCATGCTACGCCGATTACCATAACAAGCAATACCATACTTGTTACAGATACCAGAGAAATAACTGCATTTTCATGCGATTTCTGTACGATCTTGCTTTCTGGAAAATAGGTCCAGGACATCACCAACAGAGAACATCCTATCAAAGCAAAGAGTACCCAAATAAATAGGATTCTCTTTAAGCTTGGCCTTGGCTTGTACTCGTTTTGAACGGAAAGACCCTGCGAGTTTTGCCCGAACTCCTAAAAGTTAGGATTGTCTGGTATTACTCGACTTGTGGGCTGCAAACTTGTTCTTCACCCCGCATGGACCTCTATTCCAGAGTCATTCAGAGGAGCTGGACTGTCGAAGTACTGTTCTACCTTTCTAGGCGTAATTCTCCTCCTTACGATGGGTGTCTCCATTTCAAACTAAGTGCTGTCCCGTTCCGGTGTTACACGTAGAATAACTTCTTTGGATCCCACCGCTGCCACCAATTGTAACGTTTTTTTCTCTCTATGGGGTGTTTGTTTTTACCCGCGTCACAAAATATTGTGGATCCCGTGTATAAATTCAGGAACTCGAGATCTTTATAGATCTAACATAAGAACAACGACAAAGTTCGTTTCAACGAGTGTATTAACAATATCCAAGAGTAGTTTTACAAATCAAATCCAAGCTATGTATATCAACTCACTAACTCTCTCTCCTTATATACCCTGTCTGACACCTAACGTGATTTAGGGCACCTAGTTAGGGCGTTAGGCTCCATCGTTAGGGCACCTGTTAGGGCGTTAGGCTCCATCATTAGGGCACCCTGTTAGGGCAATCGGCTCCATCATTAGGGCACCTATTAGGGCAATCGGCTCCAAGTATTAGGGCCTCTGCACCATTGTTAGGTGTCAAGACACTTAATATATTTAGCATCTGATAAGCGCCATATTAATAAGGACACTAATTAGACTTCCAAGATAAGGGCGCTAATCAGGTACCATGGTTAGGGCTTATCAAATAAACAAAAATAATATTCCTATTTTATTAACAACTGTAGCATATTTACATATATAAGCAAAAATATTACACATTCTTAAATTCGTATATTACGTTGTGAAAATTAAAATGGTACATATATCACCCATGGGTAATCAAACAAAGGCTCTATTCAAATAATTGATAGTATAAATACACATGATTCAAGAATATTAAATGATATACAATCAGGTTACATGTATTTACTCATTGTAAATAATAATTTTAATAAATACCCCTAATCATTGTAATGAATAAATTGTTGCACAATTCACTCGGAAAAAAGGAATACTCAACTGATAGATATGTCGTATTTATTTATTAACATTTCAGAGAGTTCACAGGAAAACACAATGTGTAGCTGAGAATGGTAAATCTGTAGATGCTATAAAGGTCTTCACTAATTGCATCAAGTACATGAAAGACCATCTACTGAAAGCACTACAAGATAAAATCACAGGAGAAATTTTCATGGAGGACATAGACTTTGTTCTGACAGTACCTGCCATCTGGGACGACACTGCCAAAATGTTCATGCGAGAAGCGGCAGAGAATGTAATAATAAATTAATTGTATGAATATAATGTTGAAATAGTTAACTTAATGACTAACAAAACATGCTGAAAATTTATGTGTAGATGAGAATCTTTGCTATCTTTAAGTAGATTATTCTCCAAGAGATATACAAATAATTGAATTACCTAGACAGACGACATAATTTTTATTGAGGCAAAAGCTTTAATGCTATACATGCACGATACATTTAAAGAAAAAAACTATATCAAAATTGACGAATATTTGTTTTTTTTTTTTATAAAAAATTCCTAGTAAAATCTTTTATTTTAGAAAGAACCTTTAAGTAATATTAAAAACAAATATGGAGTTTCCTGTCACGCTTGTGTTTTTCCTCATTTTTCTCACAATTTTTTTTAACTTAGGCTGGTATTAAAAGGGACCAGTTGCATGTAGCCCTGGAGCCTGAAGCAGCGTCAATTTACTGTCAACTGATGCATTTAGAATCGACAGAAAACAGCAGATTTTTCTTGGCTGGAAAGGAACGTAAAGCTAAATATATGGTCCTTGATCTTGGCGGTAAGTTGTGCTTTTATTAGAATTTCTGAATGCTCGAAAATGTTTGTGTGGTTTGTTAAAAAAAAAATAACCAAATCGATCAGAAATTGTATAATCTTGTATAAGTTATACTCAGTTTTTCAAGTAGAAAATATAGTATTGGGTAAATTTTGAAGCTGATTCAAAAACCTCAAATTTATTAAAACTTTAAACGAAGCAAGACTAAAAGGATATCACTTCATTATAATAGACCAAGATAGTTTAAGTAATTCAATACATAACATGCTTTTGTATAAACCCAGTCTACAATCTTTTTGGCATTTTATGAAGTTGGAAAACATTTTCTTAAAACATTTCTTTAAAATTGAGATATTTGTTATAAAAATATCTGGGAAAAAATATTTATAATTTTGTAATGCAACAGTATTTAGCTATTAACTTATTTCTTTAGCTATTCTAACTACATTAAGGTTACGTGTATTTATAAAATTTCTATTTATTAACAAGGTGGAACTGCTGATATCACAGTTCATCAGCTGAAGCCAGACGGAACTTTGGCAGAGTTGGTGCCAGCTAGTGGGGGTGATTGGGGAGGAACATGCATTGACAAAGCATTTAAAAAATTTTTGAAAAATTTATTTGGTGAAGATGTTCTGGAGACTTTCAAAACTAATCCCGAGTATGTTGAAGACTACTTTGACTTTTGGCAAAGTTTTGAAATTAAGAAAAGAACTTTCGAAGTAAACAAGAAGCCACAGGAAAATGAGAAAAATACAGAAAAAGACCCTACTTTTCATATTCGTCTTCCGGTTGCACTTGCAGAAATAATTGGGAAAAAGACAAATCAAGATACAAAGAAGATAAAATCAGATATAATTTTTCAGGGATTGATTGAAAAATCGCAATTCAAAAATGATTTAAAATGTGTACTTGGCAAATTGCACATGAAACATTCCTTTTTCAAAAAGATGTTTGATCCTACTGTGCTCTGTCTTATTGACCATCTATCAAATCTGATTCCAACTATTAAGGATTTGAAAGTAATTTTGATGGTCGGGGGTTTTTCAGAATGTAACATTGTCCACGAGGCTGTGAAAGAGAAATTTGAAGACATTTGTAGAGTAGTTATACCAAATCAAGCAGGCCTTGCTGTACTCAAAGGGGCTGTTTATTTTGGTCATCAACCAGATCTTATCTCGGAGAGAGTGGCGAGATATACTTACGGAATTCAAACCTGGCCAAAATTTGATGAAACAGTTCACATGAAATCAAAGCTTGTTAAGATGGGAGAGGAAAAAAGATGCAGAGATGTGTTTTTCCGATTCGTTGCGAAAGGAGAAAAGATAAAGCCTGGAGACAAGAAATCTTACATATTCAATGCACTAAAACCGGGAGAAAAAGCATTAGAATGTGGCGTGTACATTTCAAATGAGGAAGATCCTAAATATGTTGACGAGAAGGGTTGTGTGAAACTGGGCATTCTGGAAGTTCCGCTTCAAAGTGTTAGAGATAGAAAATTAGAAATAGAAGAGTCTTTGATATTTGGCCACACAGAGTTACAGGTTACAGCTTGCAATTGTCACACAAAGAAAGAGTATAAAGTTACCTTCGATTTGCTCTCTCCGAACATAGCACTTCCCGAACAATAAAAGCAACTGTATGATGTACCTGTAAATTCTAGACACGCTTTCTTATATTACTCTGAATATTGACTCAACAAAATATGAATAGATGAAATGGACAATGCAAAAAGAGTAGCAGATAGCTGCAAAAATTTTCACAGTAGAAATACAGAACACCTTCTTTATGAATGCCTGTTTTCTAAACATACGTTTGTTGGCCTTTATCCCCTTTATTGTGGGCCAATTCCAACAAGCATTCTGAGAGTATTGCATAGGCAATAGATGTCCCCTACCTGATTTTCCCTTTCTCTTTATGATGTCATTTTATAACAACCTGTTCATGAAAAAGTGCCTACAAAATGTGAACATTTCGGTAATTGCTTGTTTATTAATGAAATGTCTTGGAAATTAATAAGTCGATCTGTCTTAGGAAGAGAAACGTCTATTCATTATATACATGCATGGTACTTTGGTCAAAATAACTTATTTTACATGATCAAAATAAATGATTTTATTATATGATTGAATAATTTCCATCTCTCTGATTGGTTGAGATCTAACTATGTTAGAAAAATACTACGTTGTATTGACCTGCACGTTCCAGGTCAATACAAGGATTTATTTCCTCTATATTGATCTAAAAATAGATTGGGAAATTCCAAATTGATACAAATTGTTTTGGAAAGGTATTTAAACGACTGTGATTTTTTTTCATGGGAAAAAAACATAAGCAAATATATATTTTAGGGTGAGGGTGGTAAGAGGGGATGCAGGGACCCCCTCCAACACTTCTACTGAACAGCATGTTTTTTTTTAACTTTTTGGCAGTCAGATCTCCCTAATAATACTCCTTCCTTTCAAAATCTATCCTATAAAAAGACTGACTCTAAATTATTTTTTCATGGCAACTAAAATTGATTTAAAAAAAAACATTTCAAAGTGATACGACTGGTAAGGTTTATTCACATTTTAATTCTGTTTCTCGCTTGTATTTGGTTAGGACTTAATTAAATGCAAATTAACAAGCATTTTATCGATGAATCATATAATGAATCAATTATTGCCCTTCGGGCTCGGTGAATATTGTACTCCTCAGATGGTTTAATCATTGTATTGACCGAAAAAAACAGCAATAATTGTATAAATATTAAAAAAACAATCAAACTTCATTTAAATCTACCTGCTCATTTGTCTATAAAACAGACATTGGTTGCCGTAAATGTTACATATTTTAGTGAATATTTCATTTGGATTCTTAACGAGTTTTACAGCAGCTTGAATGAAGTGTTTAATTTCACACTAGTTTGCTGATTCTTTACCATTCATTTTTACATGCAGTGTCTCGAATAGCCCTTGTTTTCCAGCTTCTCACAATGACACTATGTGATGAAAAGTGGTCACATAAATTGTTATAAATTCATTAAAGATTCAATAATGCGAAAAAAATCAAGCTTAATGTCATATTATATCTGTATTGTATGTCATGAAGTTCAGGGCATTATTTATTGAACAGCCCTCGTACAACAAATCAGTTCAATATCTGCAAGTGTTTAGAAAAAATGCGGAAAACCAGGGGGGGGGGGGGGCAGACTGACAGCGGGACAGCTAGACAGACCGACGGATGACGGACACGACAGAAACTAGAAACTATATACCCCCGAATCTTCGATTACGGGGGCATAAAAAATAGAGGAATAAGCTTTCGGAGTTGGATTAGCTCACTTGTCTAGCGCACGGGGATTAGTCAAATAACATTATATACCAACATGACCAATACAAAAGTAAAATCTAGACGATTACGGATAACCGGGAATTAGCTTGCGAAGTAGGGATTAACTTTTTGGACTAAAGCACGGGGATTAGTCCATTGACAGTGATTTCAAGGAGAATTATTCACATTTTACTATTTAATTTTTATAGGGAAAAATCAGTAAAGGAATCTAGTTTATTTATCATAACATCAAAAACGCACTTTTTCAACGTCAATCTACATATTAGTTAAAAATCGCTTTAAAAAATCGATTATATACAATATGTAATTAAGTTTTACAATCTGTAATTTTTAATTCTTTTCATTTTTAATGGACGGATATGAACATTACAAACAGGATTCAATATCAAAATCCATAAATAATACAAAATAGGAATTAAATTAAAAAATAATAAAACAGTAAATACACTTCATTTTGCTATGATGCGTAATGAACTGTGCAATGGAAACCCAAGCCGACCCCCTTAATTTAAATGTGGGCAACTACCTTCATTTTTTTTTCTACATGTATATATTTCTTTAAGATCTGATTTACAGGGTTGATTAAGGGTCTACTAAGAATTCTAAATATTTTCTCAATATCTTGATGGGTGCATTTATTGCAAAGATATATACGACCGATCCAAACTTTGTCTTACTGTTGGTTTGTGTATCCCACTACGACCAGTTAACATTTTCTTTGTTTGTCTTTTTCCAGTTGCAGAATGATTGACTTTTCTCCCAAGTTTAAAGATTTTGCCGATCTCTAAAAGCTTTTATGAGAGATTCTGTAGAAGACTTTTAAAATAACCACAATCTATGTTTAGTTTAGAGACTGTGAATATAAGAAAATTACTTTCTTTACCCTGTTTGATAGGATGAATAAAGATATCGTTCTAGATAGAAATCGATCGTAAGATCACTTGTTGCTTTGACAACAAGAACGCATCTAGTTTCTTTTATAATGCAATTGAAATTTTCTTTTTCGAAGAAATAATAATTAAAGCTGTTTAGGCATGTAAATTGAATTTTTAACTATTCCATCATCAAATTGTACACATATGCATGTATGTCAACTTAAAATCAGCGAAATATTTAGTCGGTGCAAAGTAAAACGTAAAAATAGAAATCTTATGTGGTGCGAAGAATATAATATGTGAACGAGATACAGTAATTTATATATCATGCGACTGACATTAGTTATTAAATTTATATATCGTGAATCGTGAGAGAATAATATTTTCATAAAAAGAAATAAGAAACATTTGCCCGACTGAAATATATTTCACCAGCCCTAACATCGTCTAATCATACAATTTGTAAAAAAGAATTCAAACAATACAATATCCATTCCTTCTTATTTATTTTTTATCTGTAATCTTAGCAAGATTAAACTAAAACTTAACTAGGTGCGACAACATTGTAACTGATTATCCCACCAATAAAATAATAATGTCACAAACGGGTTGTCTTTACATAAAACGAAAGTTGAAAACAACTTAACTAATGTGTAAACTATGGCACATGAAAGAAAGTCTTCATCGTCCCGAATTTTAGTGGCAGCAATTAACTTCGGGAAAAAGTATTCGGGTTTTGCCTATTCTTTCAAATCCGACTGGGCAAAAGTGCTAATGAATAAATGGGAAGGTAGCCAGCTATCGTCTTATAAAACACCGACTGCTCTTTTATTGAATCCAGACAAGTCTGTCAATTCCTTTGGTTTTGAAGCGGTGAAGAATTATTCCGATATTGCAGCAGATGGTGAGGACGATGAAGGTTACACTTGCGAGGAGTATTATTACTTTCGATATCAATTGACAAGGATGTTAAGAACAACTCTCACAAAAGTAAATTAGTGCTTAAAAAGAGGTTATTTCAAATTGCACATTTATAAAGCATACAGGCATACTTTATCCTATCAATTAATTTACATGATTAGATTCTACTGTAGTGAACTTTTCCAATCTGGCTTTCAGTTCAAACCTTTCTTCGGGCACATTAATTTTTTTGCACATGGTGATCGTGGCTTGATATATTTTCAACTTTCTTAAACTTTATTACGATTTCCAAGCACTCCTACTTGTAAAAAGAGATTTGTCACTTTTAAAAGGTAATAGGTATTTAAGGTATAATAAATAAATGAAGAAATTTGTACACGTTAAGTAAAATTGACGAAAAAATAAAGGAAAATTGCTGGTGGGTAGTCGGGCAGGGGGTCTTTCGGCGCTAGATCTACGTGCGAACTTTGCCCCCTCCATTTCTGATGCATAGGCTCAATGGTTCCTTCATGCAATAAATAAGAAATCTTATAGAGTTAAAATCTTCATTTCATCTTTGTTTTACCTTTAAAAATTGTCAGCCTTATCTCATTTGGATTCCAGTTTTGTTGGTGTTCGACAGTGACGGAACTGACCACTTTTTACATCAGTGCTTGTAGAGGAAAGGATGGCTGCACTTAACGACGTTCGGTCCTGATATTTAAAGTCTTAAACTTTATTTGCCAAGTATATTTTTAGTTTCTACACACATAGCTTAATTAAAATTCAATTCAAAAAATGGGGGTCAATACACTTCTTTTGGCGCTATAGTACATCTAATATGACCTTTTTGCACCTAAATTTGTGTCTTAATTACAAATTAAATTTTTGACGTTTTTCCTCTAATATTTTTATTCAATTAAAGCATGAAACAAAATGAACTTTTTGTTTGTTTAAAAAAAGACACTTAAAAATTGTGACTAAGAAAAATGTTAAAATTGCTTCGCATAATCAATTATTTGACTTTTCTGCACTAATAAAAAGTGATTTTTCTGGCATTTGTTACGAAATTCGTTTCGTCACTTTTATATATTTCATTGATCACTCGCAGCGTATGCAGTTGTTATCAGCATATTGATATGTACATGATTGTTTGTTATTAAATAATTGATAAAAAGTTGTAAAAGAAATAAGTTATATGCTGTCAATCATATAATATTGTTTTGGAATCGGGTTCACTGTATTTCGACCCGGTCTCGATCTCGATAGCATGTTTGAAGTCAATTATCACGTTTCGTCTTTGAACATTGTATTGTCATTGTTTAAATCAACTTAATAACGTAATAGCTACTTGTACTTATCGTATTTTGGTAGATAAAATCCCATTTTGTATGGTTAGTAATGATTTTCTATTAGAAAACTTCTCTGCGTGCACTTTCCCTGATTTGTTTATACCGGAAGTGGCGTAGGGTCATTCCGGGTCAGCGATTGGCTAATTGAGGTTACCAGTGGGTACAGTAAAGGTATATAAAGAAGCGAAAATTTCGTCTGCTAGAAGAGAAGGGGGGAGAAGTTGGGAGGATACGGAAGCCTCCAGATTATTATCTTACAAGTGCTCCCATCATTGGCAGTCATTTAAAGGGATGGCAGACCCTATGCAGACCAGATGGGTAATTATATTAGTCAAATTATATTAAATAGAGACGCTGAGATATCCCTTTGGGAGACCCATAAGTAGAGTGGGAGACCCATCGACGGGAAAACTTATGGGAGAATTTATGGGAGTTACAATTTATTATTAAAACTATATAGGTCTTACAGAATAGGTATAAATAAATTATATTAAACCAAGGAAAGTATATTTTAGTACAAGTAGCTAATTTTTATAATTATTTTGGGAAATTTAGATTTTACCTACGGGTTGTGGGAGTGACTTCACTTTATAAGAGACTGATATATATATTGTATTGTGATTTTTATTATAACAATACTTACATTTAATTGTACATAGTGTAAATAAATTTTATTTGTTGAACTTTTATCCTGACTTAATTATTAATTTATTAGTTAACATACGAGAGTGGAAAGCCCACACAGTTGCCCCACTCTCTCCCGAGGTGGGAGGCGCAACACTGGTGTCAGAAGTGGGATCAAGTCCCTTTGATTGGGAAGAAATTTTCCACATCCTCGGTTAGCTTTATTAAATTCAAAATTTTACAATCATTGAAATTTCATAGTGTACAATAAAAAAAAAAAAAAAAAAAAAAAAAAAAAAAGTCACAGAAATGTCAGATTTAGAAGAGTCCGGGGAAGTCACTTTCAAACCCATAGGTCAGCAAATTTTCAGTCCCGCTGGATCCATTGCGGATAACGGGAAAGTCCCTGCTCCCACAGAAGGTATCTCAGCAGCCATGTCTCCCATATCTGAAAATGCAAATGTATCATTAGTTAAGGTTTTACAAGAGCAATTTTCTAGTGAATTTGCAAAAATGAATCAAAAGATAGGAGAGCAATTTGTAAGCATTAGGGAAGAAATTGATGGGAGGTTAGAGAATATGCAGGAAGAAATTTTTAAATTTAAACACGAATCCCAGAATTTATGGGAACGGGATCAAACAAGGGTAAAGGATGCCCACATAAATAATAGACCCCCGTATCAAATCCCATCGCATTTAAGTAATGACAATGTTAGGGAAAATAGACACCCAAGCTCATATGACCAATATAGAGTGGGAGAAGAGAATGGGATAAATAGAGGGATGATAGGATCTCAATTCAATTTTACAGGTGACCTCCCAGAATTTAGTAGGAAAGATTCCAGGTCAGGGATGGGAGATTACCATCAGTTACCCAGTGCACCCAATATAAACAGGTTTAGCACTCCCGATCACAATGGGAACAGGAATGTGTCAACACCCACTAGGGATCCCCCGAGGGAAAGGGCTAAACCTAGGATATTTGATGGGAATGAAGATTTTGATGATTATCTCTCTCAGTTTGAGATAGTCGCAGACCTTAATAATTGGGATTACAAAACTAAATCTTTACAGTTAGCAGGTCATTTAGCTAAAGATGCATGTAGTTTGTTGGGAGAGTTGAGCCCAGGTCAGAGAAGGGATTATAATACCCTGATAACAGCTTTGAAAAGACGCTTTGGGGCCACAGAAAGATCTGAAATGTTTAGGGCAAGATTGAAAACTCGGGTGAGGGGTCAAAATGAGAGCATCTCTGAGCTGGCCCAGGCAATAAAGAAATTAACCAGACAAGCCTATCCCAGCGCTGGGCCCAGTCTCACTAACGTATTAGCATTAGACCAATTTATAGACGCGTTACCAGATCCCGACATTAGGCTGCGCCTGAGGGAGGCCCGACCTAGGGATATAAATGAAGCCGAAACTCTAGCAATTAGGTTAGAAACTTATAGGTTGGCGGATACACAGAAGTGTGCAAAGTTGAACAATGTAAACGCCATAGATGCTAGTGGGAGTGGTAACACCCAAGATTCATTTAAATTGACCAAATTATTGGGGAGATTAAATGAAAACATAGAAAGGTTAGAAAAAACAACCAGAATACAGAATCCCAGTCCACCTTTTAAAAAAGGAAATTGGAAAAATTGGAATCAGAAAAATAACCAGGGCTGGAAAGCTCAAAAATCCGGTTATAATGGCCCAAATAATAAAAAAGAAAATGGGAATGGTTATTCTTGGGGAAATCAAAATGGTAGCACTCAAAATCAGGGTCCCAAAAAGGGAAATAATTCAAGTTCAGGGAAACAACAGGGAAACCTTCCCGTGTCGGCTTCGGGGGTCGGAAATCGACAAAATTTGGGGGAAGACCCACTCCATTAGAAGAGGTTGAAATAAAACCCCGGGAAAATGAAACAGAGTTTCAAGAAATTGTAGGTGAAAATAAAAATGAATCAAATGTAAGTGATACTCTTTTGACCTCAAATGAGAGAGATGGGAATGAAAAAGTTGAGAGGGATATGGGAGAGAAATCTGGCCCAAAAGAAACCCTTTCGCAAGCTACCAAAGTAATTGTTCATAATGCAAGCAAAATTGAATCAGGCATATTTGTTCCCACACAAATCAATGGGAAAGAATGTAGATTTTTAGTAGATTCTGGGGCAGATGTTACCATTATTAGTACCCAATTTTTAGAGAAATGTTCTGAGGGGAAATCACCTTCCTTAGAACCCTATGATGTGAAACTAGCCTCTGCTACAGGGGACCCAATACCAAATAGTGGGAAATGTGAAGTCCATTTTAAAATGGGGAAAAATGAAATCACTCACAAAGTGATAGTAGCTGATATTAGATACAACGGTATCTTAGGTTTAGACTTCATGACTGAACATTCATGTGATATCTTAGTACAAAAGATGTGTTTACGGGTTAAGGGTCAAGAGATCCCTTGTTTTAGATTTAGTAGTGATGAGGTAGATTGTACCTTTAGAGTTGCATTAATGGAGGACGTGAAAGTACCTCCCAACTCAGAGTTTATTGCCCGTGGTAGAATTTTGGATTCTATTCCTAAATGGGATGAGGCTTTGGTAGAGCCAAATATAGAATTTATGGGTAAACATGAAGTGTTAGTGGCTAGGACACTTGTAAACCCCACATCTGGGATAATCCCATTAAAAGTCATGAATGTGTCAGATAGGGAAATTGAACTCCATAAAAATAGTCTTATGGGAGGAATGGAGAAAGTCTCCATGTTAAAAGATGATAGTTTAGCTATATCAGAAATCAGCTTAGAAGATACCCCCACTAAATTACCAGAACATTTGAAAAATCTGTATGAAGAGTCATGTATTGGGATAACAGAAATTGAAAAAGAGCAATTAAAAGATTTACTTGTAGAGTATCAGGGTTGTTTCTCTAAAAATTCTGAGGATATGGGACTTACAAATATGGCAGAGCATAGAATAGATACTGGGAATAGTAGACCCATTAAACAAGCCCCAAGAAGAATTCCTCTTGCCAAAATGCAAGATGTTAATAGGGAAATTAAAGAAATGTTAGCTAAGGGAGTGATTGAAGAATCAGATAGTCCCTGGAGCTCCCCTATAGTTCTAGTTAAAAAGAAAGATAACTCGATAAGGTTTTGCATAGACTTTAGAAAACTCAATGAGGTAACTATCAAAGATAGTCACCCTATTCCTAGGATAGAGTCAATATTAGATGCCCTTTCGGGATCAAAATACTATTCCACTATAGATTTGAAAAGTGGGTATTGGCAGGTTAAGGTAGCAGAGGAAGATAAACCTAAAACAGCATTCTCAATCCCGGGGGGTGGTCATTGGAATTTTACTGTCATGCCATTCGGTTTGTGCAACGCGGGGGCCACTTTCCAAAGATTGATGGAAAAAGTACTCTCTCATTTGTCGTGGGAAATTTGCATGGTATATCTTGATGACATTATTGTCTTAGCCCCTAATTTTTCCCAACACCTTAGGAACTTAGAAAAAGTGTTCAGTAGATTAAAGAAAGCAAACCTAAAAATAAACCCTAAAAAGTGCAAACTTTTACAGAGGGAAGTAGCATACTTAGGACATATTATCAGCGAACAGGGAATAAAGACTGACCCTGACAAAATCGATGTGGTCCAAGATTGGCCCACACCTAAAAATGTTAGGGATGTCCGCAGTTTTCTAGGTATTTGTTCGTATTATCGGAAATTTGTTCAAGGGTTTTCTGTAATAGCTAAGCCCTTGCACAAATTAACAGAAAAATCCCAAAAGTTTGTATGGGACTCAGACTGTCAAGAAGCCTTTGACAAGTTGAAAAGAGCTTTAACCAGCAGCCCAATACTTTCTTATCCCAAGAAAGAGGGACAATATGTGATAGATACAGATGCCTCAAACACTGGCATGGGATCTGTACTATCCCAAATCCAGGATGGGGAAGAAAAAGTCATAAGTTACTATAGTAAGCTATTCAATACGGCTGAACGCCGATACTGTGTGACTAGACGGGAATTGTTAGCTATTATTCAGTCCATCAAACACTTTCACCATTATCTTTATGGGCAAGTATTTAAAATAAGAACAGACCATGGTTCATTACGATGGCTTCTGAAATTTAAGAATCCCGAAGGTCAAATAGCCCGTTGGCTAGAAACATTAGCTTCTTACCAATTTGAAATAGAACACAGGCCAGGTCGCTTGCATGGGAATGCAGATGCTTTATCCCGCAGACCTTGTGCTGATGTGGAGTGTACATACTGTGCTAAAGCAGAGGTAAAATACCTACCTGAAGAATCTACACAAAAGTGTTCAGTTGTTGAAACTAGGTCGAAACAAAAGGCACCTGAAAATAAAGAAAGTTTAATTAGCACAGAAAATTTTGATGTGGGAAAATATCAAAATGAAGACCCAGATTTAAAGCATGTTATTAAGTGGGTACAAGATGGAACTCAACCCAGTTGGGAAGATATATCCCATTTAAGTGAGACTTGTAAATTTTATTGGGTTCGATTCGAGTCTTTAGAATACAGACACAATACCTTGTACTATGTCCATGATGGGTTAGAAAGAAATTATTGTATAGTGATCCCAAAAGCTTTAGTGGGAGAAGTTTTGACCCTATTACACAATAGTACTACAGGAGGTCACTTAGGTATTAAGAAAACCCTATCTAAAGTAAGGGAAAGATATTTTTGGTACAAAATGAGTACTGATACAAAACATTGGTGTGTGACATGTGACACCTGTGAGTCTAGAAAATCCCCTAATAGGAGAATAAGAGCCCCACTTCAAAAATATGTGGTTGGTGCTCCTTTAGAGAGGGTAGCAATTGACGTTATGGGACCATTGCCCAAATCCAATAAGGGAAATCTCTACATCTTAGTTATGGGTGATTATTTTACAAAATGGGTGGATGCGGTACCCATACGTAATCAGAAAGCTGTCACAGTCGCTCAAAAGTTAATTGATAGAATAGTTAGTATTTTTGGAACACCCATGCAAATCCATAGTGATCAGGGAAGATCATTCGAGTCAGATGTATTTAGGGAAATGTGTAGGATTTTAGGCATCGAGAAAACCCGAACCTCACCATATAGACCTCAGTCAGATGGGTTGGTAGAGCGGGCAAACAGAACAATAGAAAATATGTTAGCATCATTTGTTTCTCAAAATCAGAAAGATTGGGATTAACATTTACCCTTGCTCATGTTAGCTTATAGGTCAGCCCAGCACGAGTCAACTGGCGTAAGTCCATGTGAGATGATGTTCGGTAGGCATGTTTCTCTCCCAGCTGATTTAGTATTGGGAAGGCTACAACCTGAAAGTACATTAGAAATGTCAGAATATGCTTACAAATTGTTTCAATCTATGGATAAAATACATAAGTTTGCTAGGGATAAAATGAGTTTAGCTACAGAAAAAATGTTAAGAGAATACAACTCAAAGATAAATTTTCAAGGTTATGAAGAGGGAGATCTTGTATGGTACTACGCCCATAATATTAATAAAATGGGATCACCAAAGCTCCAGTGTCATTGGTTGGGACCTTACTTAATTCTGAAAAGAATCAATGATGTTATATACAAAATTAGAAAAACAACAAAAAGTAAATCCAAGGTTGTTCACTATAATTTGTTGAAGCCTTACAAAGGAAGTAATAGACCCAACTAGTAATATGGGATCTGCCTCGAAATATATGTAGCTTAGTGAATATTAAATAGCTAATCATTTTGTCGGAAATTTTAGTAAATCATCTTATGCAGTTTTATTATGCCCATTATTAATGTTTGGGATGTTGTCAGAAATGAGGGACTAAGTATCCCTTTATTACTTTACAGATCCAAAGATTCAAATGTGGACTATGCACAGAAGACAGAGAGTTCACGCAACAGAGTCACTGTGAGAGGCACATGACTGCAGTGCACTCGGGGTTCGTGTTCCGATGTGCCACTTGCGGGATCGTACTTGGACGAAAAGATCAAAAGCACGGGTGTGAGGGCAGGACCCTGCAGAGAGTGAAGAAATCAACACTCACGCTCACCATAGAGGAAGAGAAGGAGTTTGAGGCCTTCCAACGTGGGAGAGGGAGACATGTCGTGCCCTTCATGAAGGAGCTCCCCTTAGTGTTCAGCGATCAGCCGTACCACCAGGGCCAAGCAAAAAAAAGAGCAATATACACGGAGCCTCACCAAGGACGGAATGCCAAGAAGCGACCAAAGAGATCCGCACAAGCGCCTGCGCTCCTGTCATCACATAGGTCCGCCCCAGCGCCTGCACTCCTATCGATGTCGACCGAGAAGTCCGACCCAGCGCCTGCACTCCTGTCGATGTCGACCGAGAAGTCCATGACAGCGCCTGCGCCCTTGTCAACCAAGATGCCCACTCCAGGGCCTGTGCTCCTGTCGACCGAGAAGTCCGACCCAGCGCCTGTACTCCTATCAATGCCGACCGTGAAGTCCACCCCAGCGCCTGCTCTCTTGTCGACTGAGAAGTCTGCCCCAGAGCCTGCACTCCCATCGACTGAGAAGTCCATCCCAGTGCCTCCACTCCTGCAGTCGGAAAAGTCAACATCATCACGTCAGAGTAAGAACGATACACCGCAGAGGAGGTCTTTCAAACGATTATTCGGGGACAGTTTAAGTGACTCGTCAGATGAAGAAGACCTGCTGACTCCTGATATTTCAATAATGGAGCCTCCTATTACCTCTACACCGAGTAGAACCCTAACAACTATGACGGAGAGGGAGTTTGACAAACGAGACGTTTCGATACAGACTTCCCCCAGTGGTAGCGCACATCCCTTAGTGTCACAACAATGTATTGGTCTGGATGTTGGCGGGAAACTATTTGTGACGACAGTTGCCACTCTTACAAACCAACCTGATTCCCTTTTCGCAAGGATGATGGAGGACCCCACCTTATTACCTGCTTATAATACACTGGATAGAGGGAACCTACCAGTCTACTTTATTGACCGTGATGCCACCTACTTCGATGTCATACTCCATTACATGAGAGATGGACCGAAGAACATTAATTGCCATTTACCTAATGACGCGAGGACCTTAAGGAAAATCCACATCGAAGCGGTATATTATAGATTAGAAACGCTAGTCGAAATAATTGGTAGCCAGCTGCTCTTAATGATCTTTGGACACAAAGAGTTCTCAGAGGAATAACTGTAATTTGTGAAGATAAAATATGATTTGTGTGTTTTGGAATATATGTCCAATTTTTATAAATACTCATTCATGTCAAATGTTTTGATGATAGGAGAAGTATTGTAAATCCAACTAAGTCCAGTTCTTTTGTTTTGTTGTTGTTGTTATAAATATCAAGTAGTTAAGGGATGGATGTAGCCGAAATGTTTTTATATAATAATTACATGTAGCATTAGTCATTGCGATGAGTATATGGATTCGAGTTAAATGTAAGATGATTGATTATCATATTTTATTAATGCTACTTCTTGTCATATTATGCATGTCATTGTACATTTTAATTGCATTATTGTTATATTGATTCATACTTACTTCTATAACTGCAAGTGATGTTTTCAGTAGACCCAAGTCCAGTTGCATTCGGGACGAATGTTTTCTTCAGGAGGGGGCTATGTTACGAAATTCGTTTCGTCACTTTTATATATTTCATTGATCACTCGCAGCGTATGCAGTTGTTATCAGCATATTGATATGTACATGATTGTTTGTTATTAAATAATTGATAAAAAGTTGTAAAAGAAATAAGTTATATGCTGTCAATCATATAATATTGTTTTGGAATCGGGTTCACTGTATTTCGACCCGGTCTCGATCTCGATAGCATGTTTGAAGTCAATTATCACGTTTCGTCTTTGAACATTGTATTGTCATTGTTTAAATCAACTTAATAACGTAATAGCTACTTGTACTTATCGTATTTTGGTAGATAAAATCCCATTTTGTATGGTTAGTAATGATTTTCTATTAGAAAACTTCTCTGCATGCACTTTCCCTGATTTGTTTATACCGGAAGTGGCGTAGGGTCATTCCGGGTCAGCGATTGGCTAATTGAGGTTACCAGTGGGTACAGTAAAGGTATATAAAGAAGCGAAAATTTCGTCTGCTAGAAGAGAAGGGGGGAGAAGTTGGGAGGATACGGAAGCCTCCAGATTATTATCTTACAAGTGCTCCCATCATTGGCAGTCATTTAAAGGGATGGCAGACCCTATGCAGACCAGATGGGTAATTATATTAGTCAAATTATATTAAATAGAGGCGCTGAGATATCCCTTTGGGAGACCCATAAGTAGAGTGGGAGACCCATCGACGGGAAAACTTATGGGAGAATTTATGGGAGTTACAATTTATTATTAAAACTATATAGGTCTTAAAGAATAGGTATAAATAAATTATATTAAACCAAGGAAAGTATATTTTAGTACAAGTAGCTAATTTTTATAATTATTTTGGGAAATTTAGATTTTACCTACGGGTTGTGGGAGTGACTTCACTTTATAAGAGACTGATATATATATTGTATTGTGATTTTTATTATAACAATACTTACATTTAATTGTACATAGTGTAAATAAATTTTATTTGTTGAACTTTTATCCTGACTTAGTTATTAATTTATTAGTTAACATACGAGAGTGGAAAGCCCACACAGTTGCCCCACTCTCTCCCGAGGTGGGAGGCGCAACATATTGAAAATTTAATTAGCAAAAAAATTATTTTAAAGTCTTAAACTTTTTCTGATTTTGAGCAAATAGGTCAAATTTATCTTGAATATTTAGAAAAGAACATCAAAAGTGGGGGTATATATGATGTAAATTTTCAGATATTACTTAAACAGTGTCATTTTTACGTTAAAATTGGCTATTTTTTTCCCGGATTTTCAGAATATATTTACTATATTTGTCACACTTTGTTGATAGAATTCATAAGAAATAATTTGATAGATATTTTAGAACCAGCATAACACATTTCACTGCAAAAATCAGCTTTTTGTGCAACCATGAAGATTCCTGATCATTTTACTGATTACTTACAATTGTCCTATTTCTGAAATGAGTGTGTTCTCTGCAATGTTCACAATTGAAGTTCCTGTTTGACCTGTTACATATTGAAAATCCTCAATGAACATGATTATGGTTTTAATTTCCATTGCAATTATTGATTACAATCTAAACCAATTTATTGTAACATAATACTTAGGAAAATATTTATGAAATATCAATGGAAAAAAGGAATGTTATCAAAATCACAAGTAAGCATTAATTGTTGTGCTATTAAATCATAGTCATAATAAAGGAAATCAAAACTAATCCACAGCTTTCAAAAAGTGGAAAAATAAATGATCATTGAAAAAAAGTTCATCGTGAAAAAAGTCAGGGTAATAACTACAGATGATTTTTTTTTAAATTAAAGTTTAATTCAATTTTCGCTAGTAAAATTTAATCATATATAAATTAATGATTTTAAAAAAATGAAAAAAAGATTTTAAATATTCCTTTTCTGGTCATTCACTAGTTCGTCTAATTAAAACGAAGCAAAAATCATTTTGTTTTCATCTTGAATCATTTAAAACCATATATGGCGTAGTGAAAATTATTATGAAATTATAAAAACTTATTATTTGTACATTAATTTATATAAACATGATAAAGATAAAGAAATTTTCCGTAAATTACAAAATAGTCAATTGCGTTAAAAAGATATCAAAATTTAATTTGGTTTCTCGAAATTTTCTTCGACTTGGAAGAAAATACAAAAGATTTAAATAACACATTACAGAGAAGATAAAATCGTATTAAATGTATTAACTATATTTCTTTACTTAATTTGGTATTTTTCAAAAATATATTTTTTGATCAGTTACGCCATATATGGCTTCAAAAAAATGCTTCATAATTCCATGACACTTATCATTGAGCTGATCGAGTAAATGTATATAATTTAATAATGAGATATCTGTGAGGCATATATGTGAAAGCAAATATTGCTATATTAAACAAAGCGGTTTTTCATTAAATATAGTTAAATTTGCACTGTAGAATTCAGATTTAATGTTAGAACTTAAAAATGATGCAGAATTTTATAAATAAAGGACCTGACCAAAATACTCTCAAAATCTCAGGATCGAACGTCCTTAAGGATATGCGAAATTAGCGTCAAAATAAACTTTCAAAACAAACACTTTTCTTTCAATTGCAGAAATGATCAACATCTTATCTACAACTTTACTAATAATTACAATAATTAAAGTATGTATTTACAATGTACGAAGCTGTTTTCTGATTTTGGGGTCAACACTATTTCTTCTATCTCCGAACGATAATGAGGACGCCAACTTTCTTTACCGACTTAACACGCATTCTCTGTAAGCACCAACGAATTTACTATAGGGCTTGGAAACGACATGTCTCAGATTTTGATGAAATTTTTACCATAGGTGTGTCTTGGTACAAAACTAGTAAATATGGTGTCGGAAGTTCCACACGTGCGCTTGGTTGCCATGGAGACGGATCGACGGATCCATTGAATTCGGCCATTTTTGGCCCATTTTGACTAAATGAAAACATGAAAATTGAGGAAATGTAAAAGAATATTTGTCGGTATCTAATACACTCTAACAAAAATCATTGGATCATATGATAACATGACCTTTTAAGGTACACAGGGCATATAATCGTTTATTCTAGAAATATTCTTCCTGTAAGGAAAAGGTCATGCAAACTGACATGGTTTCTAAAAATTTGAAAAATGGGGAAATTGGAATTTTTTGAGATCTTTGAGGCTAAATAAGAAAAATTGTCCGCGGAAATTTCCCAAATCTTGTATGAGTTATTATACTTGGGAATAAGTAGTGTCATTTCGTGAAAAAATAAAAGTGGGCTTTTGCTCCTATTTTTAGTAACATATATCTATAAATAGATATATTTTAGAAAAATGTGAAAAATCAAATTTTGGCGAAGTTTTAATTGTCATTACTGCATAATTGGAACGTATGTTGTAAAAATTGAAATTCTAATGACAAGAGCTGGACACCACTTGCTGGTATGGACAACGGTTGAGGGGAATTCCCTTTTCTATTTTTAGTAACAGGTGGCTATATATAGATATGTCTCTGAATATTAGGAAAAACGGCATTTTTGTTCTAATTGGAAGCTTCATAAATAAAGTCTTAACAAATATAAAGCTTTCTACAATATGATTTCAGAATGTACATGTGTTTGTACAAAAATTGCTTCGATATTGAGGATGGACTCTTGTCTCATTTAATAGCAATAATGGTCTAAAAATAGATTACTCAAATAATTTTAAAGAAAATGTAGATTATTGCACCTTTTCAGGCAATTTTTAGATGTAGTTGCTGCATAATCAGGAAATATTTTGTAAAATTTTAGATGTAAATGACAGGATCTGGATACCACTAGCAGGTATGGATAATTGATGAGGGGAATTCCCCTTTTTCTATTTTTAGTATCATTTGGCTAAATATAGATATGTCTCTGAATATTAGGAAAAATGACATTTTTGTTCTAATTGGAAGCTTCATATAAAAAGTTTTAACAAATATAAAGCTTTCTACAATATGTTTTCAGAATGAGCATGTGTTTGTACAAAATTTTCCACAATATTGAGGATGAACTCTTGTTTCATTTCATATCAACAATAGTCTAAAAACAGATTTTTCGAATAATGTAGAAAATGTAGATTACTACTCCTTTTTAAGAACTTTATAGATGTCACTGCTGATTACTTAGGAACAATGGTCTAAAAATAGACTCCTGGAATAATCTAGAAAATGTACATTCTTGCACTTTTTCTGGCACTTTTTAGATGTCATAGCTGCATAATTAGGAAGTATATTGTAAAATTTGAGATGTAAATGACAGTAGCTGGCCACAACTAGCTAGTGTGGACAAAAGTTGAGGGGGTTCCTATTACTATTTTTAGTATCACATGGCGAAATATAGATATTTAGGCCATTTATAGGAAAACTTAAAAAATCTTTTCAATTGTTCCCGAAAATAATTCCTGATTGTCCTAGTTCTAGCCTTTGACAATGTACCTGCATTTTCATCTACAAGTTTATTTTGTCCAAAGACGAAGACTCAAAGAGCGTATTCTATATGGCAGTTTCTGTGGTCTGCATTTTTTTTTTTGATATATAGTCACCATATTTCAAGAAACGTTTGTCATTTTTTGTCAAAATTGTCACAGAGTATCTAAGGATTTTGTTAATACATGTACCAAACATGGGGATTTTCTCTTTAAACAAGAGGAGAAACTAGGGAATCTAATCTCTAATAACAAAATCTTGTTAAAATGCCATTTCACTGATCTGTTACAGGGTTAATCTCATGACTGTTGATGCCCTCTGGTCTCTTTTATAAGAAGGTACGGTTTAAGCTTAATTGTGACCTAAAAATTTAATGTTCTTAAAAAGTTGTGAAATTGGCTTTTACAGTCTAATCATTGAGTAGATTAATATGATAGATCATTAAAGAATATGACAAGAAGGGGGGGGGGTCGTTCAGGATACATGACGTCATTAATTTGGTACACTTTTAAGTTTAATGCAGAAAAGCCTCAAAATGACTCATTTCTGTGCTGATTTTCCTTTAGCCACCGTCGCCCTCTTTAATTTTTGGATGATGTAAACTGCTATGAAAAATTACATATCAGTTATCTCTCTGGGCGAGAGTGGCAGAGTATGTCTTCTAAAAGAAAATATTCCACTAAAAATTGATGTCTTTTGCAACTTATTAAGAAAATACGGGAAAATACACAAGTTAATGACGTTACAATTAGCAGTTAGGAGGTCATGATTCTGAATTCTTATGATTCAGAAAGAGTGAATTTTGATTTCCTATATCATTTTCATATATTAGAAAAATATAGAGCTTTAAATATTTTGTATTGAAACTGTACATTGTTCTTTGTTTCTATAAATAGAACTGGAAGTCCTCATTGATTTCGCATATTTCAAATATAAGTAGAACTGAATATCACCATTGTTTTTATGCTTGTTAGTTAACGGTAACTACCGATATTTATAATTACATATAGTTTACACTTATCAGTCACATGATTATTTTACTAGGAAAACTTTATTATACTCATGACATATTGAACATTTTGAATACAGCAGTATATTTCGTAAGTATGTTATCAATGAAGCTCCTTTAATCCTTTGTCATTTTTCTTCTTCTGCTGAGAAGTTGCTACATATAAATGGATGTGCTATAAATAGAAAAGAGAGCCCCATGTTTAGATAGTGTGCAATTTCACTAAATAGATTCGAATTATTTGTCGGTCACACAACGTCTACTGTAAATCTGGAAATTTTTACGTCGATTTTATTTTGCGAATTCAGGTCAAAATGGTGCTTATTCATTTTTACGTATAAAAATTTTGCGAATAACCACTGCTTTGTTAACATTTTCTTATTTGTAATTGTAACACAATTGGACCATACCGTACATATAGTTGTTTTATATAATTTATTTTTAAGAAAAATATTTTCGCGAATGCAATGAACTCGCAAATTTGCTAAAATTTTATCTACAGCAAAAATTTCCAGACTAACGGTATAACATTGATTTTTCTTTCCAACATTGCCTGAAAAGGTACAATAACCCATATTTTCTCGATTATTCCAGGAATCTTTTTAGACCATTGTTGGTATGAAAAAAGGGTCAGTCCTAAATATTGTAGCAATTCCTGTACAAACAAGTGTTCATTTCGAAGGCATATTGTAGAAAGCTTTATATTTAAGACAATTTCTAGTGTTACGAAATTCGTTTCGTCACTTTTGTGTATTTAGTCAATCACTCGCAGCGTATGCAGTTGTTGTCAGCATATTGATATGTACATGATTGTTTGTTATTAAATAATTGATAAAAAGTTGTAAAAGAAATAAGTTATATGCTGTCAATCATATAATATTGTTTTAGAATCGGGTTCACTGTATTTCGACCCGGTCTCGATCTCGATAGCATGTTTGAAGTCAATTATCACGTTTCGTCTTTGAACATTGTATTGTCATTGTTTAAATCAACTTAATAACGTAATAGCTACTTGTACTTATCGTATTTTGGTAGATAAAATCCCATTTTGTATGGTTAGTAATGATTTTCTATTAGAAAACTTCTCTGCGTGCACTTTCCCTGATTTGTTTATACCGGAAGTGGCGTAGGGTCATTCCGGGTCAGCGATTGGCTAATTGAGGTTACCAGTGGGTACAGTAAAGGTATATAAAGAAGTGAAAATTTCGTCTGCTAGAGAGGAGAAGGGGGGAGAAGTTGGGAGGATACGGAAGCCTCCAGATTATTATCTTACAAATGCTCCCATCATTGGCAGTCATTTAAAGGGATGGCAGACCCTATGCAGACCAGATGGGTAATTATATTAGTCAAATTATATTAAATAGAGACGCTGAGATATCCCTTTGGGAGACCCATAAGTAGAGTGGGAGACCCATCGACGGGAAAACTTATGGGAGAATTTATGGGAGTTACAATTTATTATTAAAACTATATAGGTCTTACAGAATAGGCATAAATAAATTATATTAAACCAAGGAAAGTATATTTTAGTACAAGTAGCTAATTTTTATAATTATTTTGGGAAATTTAGATTTTATCTACGGGTTGTGGGAGTGACTTCACTTTATAAGAGACTGATATATATATTGTATTGTGATTTTTATTATAACAATACTTACATTTAATTGTACATAGTGTAAATAAATTTTATTTGTTGAACTTTTATCCTGACTTAATTATTAATTTATTAGTTAACATACGAGAGTGGAAAGCCCACACAGTTGCCCCACTCTCTCCCGAGGTGGGAGGCGCAACACTGGTGTCAGAAGTGGGATCAAGTCCCTTTATTTGGGAAGAAATTTTCCACATTCTCGGTTAGCTTTATTAAATTCAAAATTTTACAATCATTGAAATTTCATAGTGTACAATAAAATACTTAAAAAAAAAAGTCACAGAAATGTCAGATTTAGAAGAGTCCGGGGAAGTCACTTTCAGACCCATAGGTCAGCAAATTTTCAGTCCCGCTGGATCCATTGCGGATAACGGGAAAGTCCCTGCTCCCACAGAAGGTATCTCAGCAGCCATGTCTCCCATATCTGAAAATGCAAATGTGTCATTAGTTAAGGTTTTACAAGAGCAATTTTCTAGTGAATTTGCAAAAATGAATCAAAAGATAGGAGAGCAATTTGTAAGCATTAGGGAAGAAATTGATGGGAGGTTAGAGAATATGCAGGAAGAGATTTTTAAGTTTAAACACGAATCCCAGAATTTATGGGAACGGGATCAAACAAGGGTAAAAGATGCCCACATAAATAATAGACCCCCGTATCAAATCCCATCACATTTAAGTAATGACCATGTTAGGGAAAATAGACACCCAAGTTCATATGACCAATATAGAGTGGGAGAAGAGAATGGGATAAATAGAGGGATGATAGGATCTCAATTCAATTTTACAGGTGACCTCCCAGAATTTAGTAGGAAAGATTCAAGGTCAGGGATGGGAGATTACCATCAGTTACCCAGTGTACCCAATATAAACAAGTTTAGCACTCCCGATCACAATGGGAACAGGAATGTGTTAACACCCACTAGGGATCCCCCGAGGGAAAGGGCTAAACCTAGGATATTTGATGGGAATGAAGATTTTGATGATTATCTCTCTCAGTTTGAGATAGTCGCAGACCTTAATAATTGGGATTACAAAACTAAATCTTTACAGTTAGCAGGTCATTTAGCTAAAGATGCATGTAGTTTGTTGGGAGAGTTGAGCCCAGGTCAGAGAAGGGATTATAATACCCTGTTAACAGCCTTGAAAAGACGCTTTGGGGCCACAGAAAGATCTGAAATGTTTAGGGCAAGATTGAAAACCCGGGTGAGGGGTCAAAATGAGAGCATCTCTGAACTGGCCCAGGCAATAAAGAAATTAACCAGACAAGCCTATCCCAGCGCTGAGCCCAGTCTCACTAATGTATTAGCATTAGACCAATTTATAGACGCGTTACCAGATCCCGACATTAGGCTGCGCCTGAGGGAGGCCCGACCTAGGGATATAAATGAAGCCGAAACTCTAGCAATTAGGTTAGAAACTTATAGGTTGGCGGATACACAGAAGTGTGCAAAGTTGAACAATGTAAACGCCATAGATGCTAGTGGGAGTGGTAACACCCAAGATTCATTTAAATTGACCAAATTATTGGGGAGATTAAATGAAAACATAGAAAGGTTAGAAAAAACAACCAGAATACAGAATCCCAGTCCACCTTTTAAAAAAGGAAATTGGAAAAATTGGAATCAGAAAAATAACCAGGGTTGGAAAGCTCAAAAATCCGGTTATAATGGCCCAAATAATAAAAAAGAAAATGGGAATGGTTATTCTTGGGGAAATCAAAATGGTAGCACCCAAAATCAAGGTCCCAAAAAGGGAAATAGCTCAAGTTCGGGGAAACAACAGAAAAACCTTCCCGTGTCGGCTTCGGGGGTCGGAAATCGACAAAATTTGGGGGAAGACCCACTCCATTAGAAGAGGTTGAAATAAAACCCCAGGAAAATGAAATAAAGTTTCAGGAAATTGTCGGTGAAAATAAAAATGAATCAAATGTTAATGATACTCTTTTGACCTCAAATGAGGGAGATGGGAATGAAAAAGTTGAGAGGGATATGGGAGAGAAATCTGGCCCAAAAGAAACCCTTTCTCAAGCTACCAAAGTAATTGTTCATAACGCAAGCAAAATTGAATCAGGTATATTTGTTCCCACACAAATCAATGGGAAAGAATGTAGATTTTTAGTAGATTCTGGGGCAGATGTTACCATTGTTAGTACCCAATTTTTAGAGAAATGTTTTGAGGGGAAATCACCTTCCTTAGAACCCTATGATGTGAAACTAGTCTCTGCTACAGGGGACCCAATACCAAATAGTGGGAAATGTGAAGTCCATTTTAAAATGGGGAAAAATGAAATCACCCACAAAGTGATAGTAGCTGATATTAGATACAACGGTATCTTAGGTTTAGACTTTATGACTGAACATTCATGTGATATCTTAGTACAAAAGATGTGTTTACGGGTCAAGGGTCAAGAGATCCCTTGTTTTAGATTTAGTAGTGATGAGGTAGATTGTACCTTTAGAGTTGCATTAATGGAGGACGTGAAAGTACCTCCCAACTCAGAGTTTATTGCCCATGGTAGAATTTTGGATTCTATTCCTAAATGGGATGAGGCTTTGGTAGAGCCAAATATAGAATTTATGGGTAAACATGAAGTGTTAGTGGCTAGGACACTTGTAAACCCCACATCTGGGATAATCCCATTAAAAGTCATGAATGTGTCAGATAGGGAAATTGAACTCCATAAAAATAGCCTTATGGGAGGAATGGAGAAAGTCTCCATGTTAAAAGATGATAGTTTAGCTATATCAGAAATCAGCTTAGAAGATACCCCCACTAAATTACCAGAACATTTGAAAAATCTGTATGAAGAGTCATGTATTGGGATAACAGAAATTGAAAAAGAGCAATTAAAAGATTTACTTGTAGAGTATCAGGGTTGTTTCTCTAAAAATTCTGAGGATATGGGTCTTACAAATATGGCAGAGCATAGAATAGATACTGGGAATAGTAGACCCATTAAACAAGCCCCAAGAAGAATTCCTCTTGCCAAAATGCAAGATGTTAATAGGGAAATTAAAGAAATGTTAGCTAAGGGAGTGATTGAAGAATCAGATAGTCCCTGGAGCTCCCCTATAGTTCTAGTTAAAAAGAAAGATAACTCGATAAGGTTTTGTATAGACTTTAGAAAACTCAATGAGGTAACTATCAAGGATAGTCACCCTATTCCTAGGATAGAGTCAATATTAGATGCCCTTTCGGGATCAAAATACTATTCCACTATAGATTTGAAAAGTGGGTATTGGCAGGTTAAGGTAGCAGAGGAAGATAAACCTAAAACAGCATTCTCAATCCCGGGGGGTGGTCATTGGAATTTTACTGTCATGCCATTCGGTTTGTGCAACGCGGGGGCCACTTTCCAAAGATTGATGGAAAAAGTACTCTCTCATTTGTCGTGGGAAATTTGCATGGTATATCTTGATGACATTATTGTCTTAGCCCCTAATTTTTCCCAACACCTTAGGAACTTAGAAAAAGTGTTCAGTAGATTAAAGAAAGCAAACCTTAAAATAAACCCTAAAAAGTGCAAACTTTTATAGAGGGAAGTAGCATACTTAGGACATATTATCAGCGAACAGGGAATAAAGACCGACCCTGACAAAATCGATGCGGTCCAAGATTGGCCCACACCTAAAAATGTTAGGGATGTCCGTAGTTTTCTAGGTATTTGTTCCTATTATCGGAAATTTGTTCAAGGGTTTTCTGTAATAGCTAAGCCCTTGCACAAATTAACAGAAAAATCCCAAAAGTTTGTATGGGACTCAGACTGTCAAGAAGCCTTTGACAAGTTGAAAAGAGCTTTAACCAGCAGCCCAATACTTTCTTATCCCAAGAAAGAGGGACAATATGTGATAGATACAGATGCCTCAAACACTGGCATGGGATCTGTACTTTCCCAAATCCAGGATGGGGAAGAAAAAGTCATAAGTTACTATAGTAAGCTATTCAATACGGCTGAACGCCGATACTGTGTGACTAGACGGGAATTATTAGCTATTATTCAGTCCATCAAACACTTTCACCATTATCTTTATGGGCAAGTATTTAAAATAAGAACAGACCATGGTTCATTACGATGGCTTCTGAAATTTAAGAATCCCGAAGGTCAAATAGCCCGTTGGCTAGAAACATTAGCTTCTTACCAATTTGAAATAGAACACAGGCCAGGTCGCTTGCATGGGAATGCAGATGCTTTATCCCGCAGACCTTGTGCTGATGTGGAGTGTACATACTGTGCTAAAGCAGAGGTAAAATACCTACCTGAAGAATCTACACAAAAGTGTTCAGTTGTTGAAACTAGGTCGAAACAAAAGGCACCTGAAAATAAAGAAAGTTTAATTAGCACAGAAAATTTTGATGTGGGAAAATATCAAAATGAAGACCCAGATTTAAAGCATGTTATTAAGTGGGTACAAGATGGAACTCAACCCAGTTGGGAAGATATATCCCATTTAAGTGAGACTTGTAAATTTTATTGGGTTCGATTCGAGTCTTTAGAATACAGACACAATACCTTGTACTATGTCCATGATGGGTTAGAAAGAAATTATTGTATAGTGATCCCAAAAGCTTTAGTGGGAGAAGTTTTGACCCTATTACACAATAGTACTACAGGAGGTCACTTAGGTATTAAGAAAACCCTATCTAAAGTAAGGGAAAGATATTTTTGGTACAAAATGAGTACTGATACAAAACATTGGTGTGTGACATGTGACACCTGTGAGTCTAGAAAATCCCCTAATAGGAGAATAAGAGCCCCACTTCAAAAATATGTGGTTGGTGCTCCTTTAGAGAGGGTAGCAATTGACGTTATGGGACCATTGCCCAAATCCAATAAGGGAAATCTCTACATCTTAGTTATGGGCGATTATTTTACAAAATGGGTGGATGCGGTACCCATACGTAATCAGAAAGCTGTCACAGTCGCTCAAAAGTTAATTGATAGAATAGTTAGTATTTTTGGAACACCCATGCAAATCCATAGTGATCAGGGAAGATCATTCGAGTCAGATGTATTTAGGGAAATGTGTAGGATTTTAGGCATCGAGAAAACCCGAACCTCACCATATAGACCTCAGTCAGATGAGTTGGTAGAGCGGGCAAACAGAACAATAGAAAATATGTTAGCATCATTTGTTTCTCAAAATCAGAAAGATTGGGACGAACATTTACCCTTGCTCATGTTAGCTTATAGGTCAGCCCAGCACGAGTCAACTGGCGCAAGTCCATGTGAGATGATGTTTGGTAGGCATGTTTCTCTCCCAGCCGATTTAGTATTGGGAAGGCTACAACCTGAAAGTACATTAGAAATGTCAGAATATGCTTACAAATTGTCTCAATCTATGGATAAAATACATGAGTTTGCCAGGGATAAAATGAGTTTAGCTACAGAAAAAATGTTAAGAGAATACAACTCAAAGATAAATTTTCAAGGTTATGAAGAGGGAGATCTTGTATGGTACTACGCCCATAATATTAATAAAATGGGATCACCAAAGCTCCAATGTCATTGGTTGGGACCTTACTTAATTCTGAAAAGAATCAATGATGTTATATACAAAATTAGAAAAACAACAAAAAGTAAATCCAAGGTTGTTCACTATAATTTGTTGAAGCCTTACAAAGGAAGTAATAGACCCAACTAGAAATATGGGATCTGCCTCGAAATATATGTAGCTTAGTGAATATTAAATATACTCATCATTTTGTCGGAAATTTTAGTAAATCATATTAATATGCAGTTTTATTATGCCCATTATTAATGTTTGGGAAGTTGTCAGAAATGAGGGACTAAGTATCCCTTTATTACTTTACAGATCCAAAGATTCAAATGTGGACTATGCACAGAAGACAGAGAGTTCACGCAACAGAGTCACTGTGAGAGGCACATGACTGCAGTGCACTCGGGGTTCGTGTTCCGATGTGCCACTTGCGGGATCGTACTTGGACGAAAAGATCAAAAACACGGGTGTGAAGGCAGGACCCTGCAGAGAGTGAAGAAATCAACACTCACGCTCACCATAGAGGAAGAGAAGGAGTTTGAGGCCTTCCAACGTGGGAGAGGGAGACACGTCGTGCCCTTCATGAAGGAGCTCCCCTTAGTGTTCAGCGATCAGCCGTACCACCAGGGCTAAGCAAAAAAGAGAGCAATATACACGGAGCCTCACCAAGGACGGAATGCCAAGAAGCGACCAAAGAGATCCGCACAAGCGCCAGCACTCCTGTCATCACATAGGTCCGCCCCAGCGCCTGCACTCCTGTCCATGTCGACCGAGAAGTCCGACACAGCGCCTGCGCCCTTGTCAACCAAGATGCCCACTCCAGGGCCTGTGCTCCTGTCGACCGAGAAGTCCGACCCAGCGCCTACACTCCTATCGATGCCGACCGTGAAGTCCACCCCAGAGCCTGCACTCCTATCGACTGAGAAGTCCATCCCAGCGTCTCCACTCCTGCAGTCGGAAAAGTCAACATCATCACGTCAGAGTAAGAACGATACACCGCAGAGGAGGTCTTTCAAACGATTATTCGGGGACAGCTTAAGTGACTCGTCAGATGAAGAAGATCTTCTTACTCCTGATATTTCAATAACGGAGCCTCCTGTTACCTCTACACCGAGTAGAACCCTAACAACTATGACGGAGAGGGAGTTTGACAAACAAGACGTTTCGATACAGACTTCCCCCAGTGGTAGCGCACATCCCTTAGTGTCACAACAATGTATTGGTCTGGATGTTGGCGGGAAACTATTTGTGACGACAGTTGCCACTCTTACAAACCAACCTGATTCCCTTTTCGCAAGGATGATGAAGGACCCCACCTTATTACCTGCTTATAATATACTGGATAGAGGGAACCTACCAGTCTACTTTATTGACCGTGATGCCACCTACTTCGATGTCATACTCCATTACATGAGAGATGGACCGAAGAACATTAATTGCCATTTACCTAATGACGTAAGGACCTTAAGGAAAATCCACATCGAAGCGGTATATTATAGATTAGAGACGCTAGTCGAAATAATTGGTAGCCAGCTGTTTGTAATGATCTTTGGACACAAAGAGTTCTCAGAGGAATAACTGTAATTTGTGAAGATAAAATATGATTTGTGTGTTTTGGAATATATGTCCAATTTTTATAAATACTCATTCATGTCAAATGTTTTGATGATAGGAGAAGTATTGTAAATCCAACTGAGTCCATTTCTTTTGTTTTTGTTGTTGTTGTTATAAATATCAAGTAGTTAAGGGATGGATGTAGCCGAAATGTTTTTATATAATAATTACATGTAGCATTAGTCATTGCGATGAGTATATGGATTCGAGTTAAATGTGATATGATTGATTATCATATTTTATTAATGCTACTTCTTGTCATATTATGCATGTCATTGTACATTTTAATTGCATTATTGTTTATTTTGATTCATACTTACTTCTATAACTGCAAGTGATGTTTTCAGTTGACCCAAGTCCAGTTGCATTCGGGACGAATGTTTTCTTCAGGAGGGGGCTATGTTACGAAATTCGTTTCGTCACTTTTGTGTATTTAGTCTATCACTCGCAGCGGATGCAGTCGTTATCAGCATATTGATATGTACATGATTGTTTGTTATTAAATAATTGATAAAAAGTTGTAAAAGAAATAAGTTATATGCTGTCAATCATATAATATTGTTTTAGAATCGGGTTCACTGTATTTCGACCCGGTCTCGATCTCGATAGCATGTTTGAAGTCAATTATCACATTTCGTCTTTGAACATTGTATTGTCATTGTTTAAATCAACTTAATAACGTAATAGCTACTTGTACTTATCGTATTTTGGTAGATAAAATCCCATTTTGTATGGTTAGTAATGATTTTCTATTAGAAAACTTCTCTGCGTGCACTTTCCCTGATTTGTTTATACCGGAAGTGGCGTAGGGTCATTCCGGGTCAGCGATTGGCTAATTGAGGTTACCAGTGGGTACAGTAAAGGTATATAAAGAAGTGAAAATTTCGTCTGCTAGAGAGGAGAAGGGGGGAGAAGTTGGGAGGATACGGAAGCCTCCAGATTATTATCTTACAAATGCTCCCATCATTGGCAGTCATTTAAAGGGATGGCAGACCCTATGCAGACCAGATGGGTAATTATATTAGTCAAATTATATTAAATAGAGACGCTGAGATATCCCTTTGGGAGACCCATAAGTAGAGTGGGAGACCCATCGACGGGAAAACTTATGGGAGAATTTATGGGAGTTACAATTTATTATTAAAACTATATAGGTCTTACAGAATAGGCATAAATAAATTATATTAAACCAAGGAAAGTATATTTTAGTACAAGTAGCTAATTTTTATAATTATTTTGGGAAATTTAGATTTTATCTACGGGTTGTGGGAGTGACTTCACTTTATAAGAGACTGATATATATATTGTATTGTGATTTTTATTATAACAATACTTACATTTAATTGTACATAGTGTAAATAAATTTTATTTGTTGAACTTTTATCCTGACTTAATTATTAATTTATTAGTTAACATACGAGAGTGGAAAGCCCACACAGTTGCCCCACTCTCTCCCGAGGTGGGAGGCGCAACACTAGGAAGATTCAAATTAGCAGAAAACTGCCATCTTTCCTAATATTTAGAGACAACTCTATATTTGCACTAAAAATTTGATACTAAAAATAGAATAAATATTTGATACTAAAAATAGAATTGGGAAACCCCCTCAACCATTCTCCACACCGACTAATGTGGTCCAGCTTTTGTCATTAACATCTCAAATTTTACAATATACTTCCTAATTAAGCAGCAATGGCATCTATAAAGTGCCTAAAAAAGGCGCAATAATCTACATTTTCTCAATTATTCGATCTATGTTTAGACCATTGTTGCTATAAAATGAAGCAAGAATCCATCCTCAATATAGTAGCATTATTGTACAAACATGTGCTTTCTGAAATCATATTAGTGAAAGCTTTATATTTGTTAGGACTTTTTATATGAAGCTTCCAATTAGAACAAAAATGCCATTTTCCTAATATTCATAGACATATCTATATTTAGCCACCTGATACTAAAAATAGAAATGGGAAATCCCCTCAACCATTATTCATACCTGGCCAGCTATTGCTGTCCAGATCTTGTCATTAACATCTCAAATTTTACAAAACATTTCCTAATTATGCAGCAATTACATCTAAAATGTGCTTGAAAAGGTGCAATAATCTACCTTTTCTCAATTATTCGAATAATCTATTTTTAGGGCCATTGTTGATATGAAATGAAAGAAAAGTTCATCCTCAATATTGTGGCAATTATTGCATAAACAGATGAACATTCTGAAAGCATATTGTAGTAGGCTTAATATATGTTAGGACATTTTATATGAATCTTACAATAGGAAGAAAAACGCCATTTTTCCTAATATTCAGAGACATCTCTATATTTAGCCACCTGATACTAAAAATAGAAATGGGAATTCCCTTCAACTATTATCCATACCACCTAGTGGTATCCAAATCTTGTCATTAACATCTAAAATTTTGCAAAATATTTCCCAATTATGCAGCAACTACATCTAAAAAGTGTATGATAGGGTGCAATAATCTATATTTTCTCAAATTATTCGAGTAATCTATTTTGAGTTGCCATAAAATGAAACAAGAGTCCATCCTCAATATTGTGGCAATTATTGTACAAACACATGTACATTCTGTAAACATATTATAGAAAGCTTTATATTTGTTTGGACTTTTTATATGAATCTTCCAATTAGATCAAAAATGCCATTTTCCCTAATATTCAGAGACATCTCTATATTTAGCCACCTGTTACTAAAAATAGAAATGGGAATTCCCCTCATCAATTATCAATACCTGCTAGTGGTATCCAGATCCTGTCATTTACATCTAAAATTTTACAAAATATTTCCTGATTATGCAGCAACTACATCTAAAAACTGCCTGAAAAGGTGCAATAATCTACATTTTCTTAACTATTCGAGTAATCTATTTTGAGACCATTGTTGCCATCAAATGAAAGAAGAGTTCATCCTCAATATTGTGGCAATTATTGAACAAACACATGTACATTCTGAAAGCATATTGTAGAAAGCTTTATATTTGTTAGGACTTTTTATATGAAGCTTCCAATTAGAACAAAAATGCCATTTTTCCTAATATTCAGAGACATCTCTATATTTAGACACCTGTTACTAAAAATAGAAATGGGAATTCCCCTCATCAATTATCAAATACCTGCTAGTGGTATCCAGATCCTGTCATTTATATCTAAAATTTTACAAAATATATCCTAATTATTCAGCAACTACAGTACAGTCAACGCGGTTTATGCATTTACCGCGCACCCCCGCGGTGTGAATTTCATCGCGGTTAGTACAGGTGCCTCATGTAAAAACCGCGTGCCCCCGCGGTTCACTAATCCAGGTAAATAACACCGTCGCGGTGCATCTTACCGATTACAGGTGAAAAAACAGTCTTGGTCTAAAACGCGAGTTACCTCCCTTTGAAAATATCAACCAAAACAAAACGAAATTAATGATATTTTAAAATTTATAGTCGTTGAAATATTTGAAGTACAAAATGAAAATTAATTTTTCTAAAAAAAAATATATACTCTAATGTATCTAAATAATTATAAAAACCGTCAAAGCAATTTTCAAATAGCGTTTACTAATTCTTGAATTACTTTTTTTTGTGTTCATTCTATTTAGATCCAGGATTTTCTATATAAATTACTGTATGTGATATATTTATACGACAATGCAAGATAAAACATCCAGTGTGCTATTCATGATATTCAATATTAATTTATATTTTCGTTGCGTGTGTGTTTTTTTTCTTTAATTTTAATGGTGGATTGATTAAAGAAACGATATATCGCAGTGTCACTTTCAGTGGGGCTATGAATGAAAGTGTTTTAAAATTATTAATCTTCAAATATAGGATTATAATACGCAGAAAATTTTTATGTAATCAACATTCTCCGAGTCGTCTGTAAAGTGTCATTCCTTTATTCTGGGGCAATGTTCTTGAAATCAGTAGGGTGTGTATGAGTGTGTAATTTGATGGCCTACCCATCCGTAGAAGATAAAATAAAATTACATAATGTCTAGAGCTAGACCTGGTACGCATACTTGGTCCTCACAGCTGTACACTGGACAAGGTACGATCCCCTGCACCAGCCCTATCCCTGGTGTACACGTGCCTGAAAGCGGGTCAGTAAATTTCAACTGTCGTACATGTTTAACATACTTCACAATTACATTTACATAATTTAATACATATTTAAATGAATTATTTAAATTTACGATATGCAGATTACCATGATTACTTTCGTGTAAAAAGTCAATTTTGATGTAACAATCATCCCCCTTCCCCCTTATTTACTTGGACTCTATTAATGTGTCTTACACAAAACTCTGCACAATCACAACTTTGGATGGGGGGTTATTTTCCCAATATCAGTAGATAGAAGCTAAGTTGATTTAGAAAATATTGTATTCATGCATGAAAATTCAACCAAAACATTGAAAAAAAAAAAAACACTACCAAGCTAACAAAAATTTACTGAAAAAGAAATTCATAAACACCACAAACAATATCGGAACAACATTTTATGTGCATTTTGCATTGGTAAGTAATTTTTTTGTCCTTGTTAGATTTAGTACATGTATACACAGTGTACATGTAGCTGCACGGACTAATCGTGGTCTCCTTAGTAACTGGTGGATTCCTGTGTATTGTGCGCGATCAAGTGGAGAGGGATTTCCTGTCTCACAGTGACACTGTACTGGGTATAATTTCACACCTTTGTGAAAGACAAAGGATTTGGATTTTCACAACATTTTGATTTATAAAATATAAAATCATAAACCGGGTGGATTTTAATTTTTGACACCACCCCCCCCCCTCCCCTCCGCCCCAAAGATTCCCCTACTGCCGTCTGCATGAACTTCATTTTTTTTTAAACATAAGGTTGTATGTTTCAAAAACATTAATTTTACATTTGGATTCACAAAAAAGACTGATCTTAATAAATTTAAATGACGTTCCCTGTATATGCATGGTCTTTTACAAATACAAAAAATTGGAATGTTAACACCGAGGGCTGTTCTATATGTACGGTGTACATGTTCCTACAAAATTACGACAAGCTAATGTATTTCATTGCGTAGTTAATCCCAGGGTAGGCTATAGAGGTGTACATGTAAATGGTAGAAATAATATTAATTCTTTTACATATACATGTATAGCAAAAGGACGATATATCAATTTATTATGCACGACCGTATGCACAACAAAGCACCCCGTTTCATTTTTATACTATTGTGCGAAAGAAAATTTTAAGCTTTCTCTTATTTTATTTGCACACTGAGAGGTAATTAATCAAGTAACACTCCAAACTGCATACAAATATTTCTACTACTCAGTGTTTTCAGTTAATACGCTTTTCCCATGAACATTGTTCGTACTTACAAGAAATTACTTGT